AAAAATACCAGCTGTATGACCCTGGTCTAGTTTCCTCATCGAGGAATTCCCTATACCAGTGAAAACACAGGTCTCATTGCTATCATTTCTGTCCCTATTCCAAATATATAGAGAATTGATTAAAATATATTAAAATGAGCCATTCTCTATTCAAATGGCTATTTTGATAGCCATTCTGAGCTATCAAAAGTCATGTGAACAAATACTCCAAATGACTAATGATAGGAATGAAATTTAAAATCACACAGATTGATAAAGATAAGGAAAGTGACACATGTTAGTGTTACTGTGGGAGGGACAGACAACTATTACTTCACTGGTGGAGATATAAGGGGTTCCGAGTAAAAGTCGCTAAGCTGTCCATACCCTTTGGCCCTCAATACAACTAGTAGACCCAAAAGATCAAAACAAGGAGAAAAAAAAATGCACAAAATATTTATAGTAGGTAGTATTTTTTTGTTAGCTGAAAGGATTTGGAAAAAAGTAGGAGCCCATCAATTTGGGAGTTATTCAGTCATTTTTTAATCATGTCTGACTCTTTATGACCCATTTGGGGTTTTCTTGGCAAAGATACTGGAGTAGTTTGCCATTTCCTTCTTCAGTTCATTTTACAATTGAGGAAACTGAGGCAAACAGGGCTAAGTGACTTGCTCAAGGTCACACAGCTAGTAAGTGTCTGACATCAGATTTAAACTCAGATCTTCCTGACTCCAGGCCTGACATTGTGCTACCCAGCCGCCCTTGAACTGAAATTTTTTTGTTGTTGAAAGGATTTGGAAAAAAGTAGGAGCCCATCAATTTGGGAGTATATAAATATGTTTTATATAGTATGGCACAGTAATATTCTAAGAAATAATAAAAGAGATATATTCACAGAAACCTGGGAGAACTGGTATGAACTGATGCAGGACGGAGTTAGCAGAACCTGAAGAACAATTTCTGTAACTACAACATTATAAATGAAAACTTTGAAAGACTTCAACTCTGATCAGTAATGACCAATCATGACTCCAGAAGGCTGATAATGAATGATGCTTCCTTACATTTGCAAGAGAAGTGGTATTCTAGAGGTACAGAATAAGATGAAAGGTTTTCAAGCCTGGGCAAGGAAGTAATGAGGGGGAGGGAATTTGCAGACTCTCCATAATTTTTATAAATATTCAAAGTCACTAATAATGAAAATGCAAATTAAAATCGTTCTCAAGGTTTCATTTCACACCCATCAAATTGGCAAAGATGACTAACTGAACATAATCATTGCTGATGGGCTGTGGAATATTAGCTTTGCTTATTAGCGGATTATTAGTGGATTTGTGAATTCATTCAGTGAGTCTCTTGTACGTTTTGACCCAGCAATCAGTCTACTGGAGATATACCCCTAAAGAAGTCAGAAACAAAAAGCATAGTCTTATTTCATCATCAAGAAATGCATTGCAGCACTTTCTGTGTTAGCAGAAAAATTGGAAACAATGTTGAGCACACATCAATTGAGAAATTGTTGAGAAAAAACTTAATGAATATGAAATTTAATGTGAGACATGGCAAATGTGGAATTTAGAGAAACTTGAGAATGTTTGTATGAATTGATCCAGACAAAGTAAGCAGAACCAGGAGCACAATATACACAATGGCTGTGATAGTGTAAATTAAAACAACACCAAAAGGCAACTGAACTTGAAATAAGAATCCTAAGGTCAGATTCAGAACATGGTTGGTCACATAGACATAACCTTTACTACATTAGTTAGTTTTGCTTTCCTACTTTGCATTATTATGAGAGAAAGTAACAGTTTATGATATAATAGACAAAAATAATGACAAGTTTTAAAAACAAATATTTTTAAAATGAAATGCCTGAAAAGGAGTCTTACTGTGACCGGAAAAGGTCACAATAATTATTTAGATATGACAAGGAAAAGTAAAAGATAACACCAAAATTACAAACATGAGAGATTAGAGTCACCAATGAAGCTGACAAAAATATTGATGATTTGCCAACAATGTAATTTTCTTAGGGGGAGCACAAGTTTGTGTTGCAAGACATAGGAGAGCAAGTAAAAGAGATCAGGGTGAAAGGAAAATGTATTTACAACAAATTGGCATTCCAGACACATTGAAACAGCCTGGACCAAGATTAGTAAGGTTGATTAATAAGGGATTAAAATCCTAGTAAGAGGTAGAAGGAGGAAGGGATTGGCACTTCATACAGTAATTGAGGATTTCAGATTATTATTTAAGTTGTATGAAGACAGAGTTCATTAGAATCCTGCAGAGTTTCAATATTGTTAAGATGGTTACATCCCTAGGCTGGATTTTCAAAGATGAATGGCAAGTGGTGTTACCATTCTGTTGGAATCCCAAATTCACTTCAAACTACACATCTCTTGTGTAAAGATCTATGGCCATAAAGTGTTCTTCCTGACCCTATTTCCATATTCATCTGTTATTCATCATATAATGTTATTCATCATTATTTAGACTCTACTTCATAGTAGTGGGTTTTAAAGTTTTGTCTAAGTATTTTTCTTATTTCTTTCATTATCTATTGAGCCTTCTTAATCCTTTTAGCATGATTCTAGTCGAATGTCACATTCTTTTATGCTGTTCTATGTTTATGCATGTTTTTATGCTGTTTTTAATCCCTACATGGGAACCCCTCATTAATCTTAAAAGCATGGTTACAAACATCCATTTAAAAATCTATGCCATCAACAAAGTGAACTGTTCAATTTTCATTTCCCCCCCCCCAAAAAAACACACCCTTTAGATGGAAAAAGCTATAAGAACACTTATGTCATAAAATTCTGGTTCTTTTTTTTTTTTTTTAGGTTTCTTTGATCAGTGTCTTCTGTTTCTATGTATGTAATGACTGCATTTTTAAAGCATTTCAGTAGGCTTTCTAATAATAAATACCTGGCATTTATATTACTACTTAAAGGTTTGCAAAGCACTTTATATGCTATTTCATTTGATCCTCACAACAGTCCTGAGAATAGGTACCATTATGATCCCCAAATTACAAATGAGGAAACAGGCAGAGAGTAGTTAAATGACTAACCCAGGATCATACAGCTAGTATCTGAGATAGGAATTGAACTTAGGTTTTTTTGACTCCTACTCTAGTACCCACTATGCCACCTACCTGCCTTCTTGTCATATCCCTGTATCATGCTTCAAGAGCATGTGTACAGCTTGCCATCTCGTCATATCAAATCTCCATATTGATGCCTATGGAGCCTCTAACAGATTTTCCCTTCTTCGTTAGTGCCATTTCTAAGATGTTTATTTTGTTATCTCCGTATTTCTAATATGTATATTTATACATGTGAGAAATATTTCAATGGCATGTAGATATTTGTAAATAAAATAGAACGTACAAAGTAATTGAGCAGAAATTTTGCTCCCATTGGACATTTGTTACGCCTGTTCTAAGAAAGCCCTCTTAGTTCTGTACTAGTGCTGCTAATTGCTTACAGATTGCAGAATCAGAAAGGTATTGACCAAGTCTTTGCTTGTATGATAGTATTAATTAATAAAAATTAAGGAAACAAAAGGTAAATTCAGTAGTGATCAGTTATGTTAAAATTCCAGAATTTCTTTTTTTTTTCCCACACGACAATTCTATTTGATAAGATATTTCACCTATTTCACCTTAATACATTTTTCTCTTCTTCCTCTTCCCAGAACCACAGAAAAAGAAAGTTCTTGGTCACCTCCCCCTGTGGAAATCAAGCTGATTTCTCCCTTAGCAACTCCAGTTGATGCACCTAAGAGCAAACCAAGAAGAACTACAGAAACAACAGAAAAAACTCTTGGAAGGAGCAAAAGGAAACTGTCTTCCTTTCCAAAGCAAGTTTTACGCAGGAAGATGCTGTAATTTTTTTTTCAAGTTTTTAATGTACACCCCACCCCAGTTTGTAAAGTCATCAGAATTGTGTGGATTATTAAAAATCATCTAATTTGGAAAAGAATAATTTATATAAATTATTGTAAATTTTCATAAATAAATGGTCTTCAATAAGTAAAGTAACTCCATATGGAGTGTGATTCCTTCAGTCACATACAGTTTTTTCTATTTTATATTAAGACTTCATACATTTATATAATATGTAAATACAGCTTATTATTGGAATGTTAAATAAACTGTATACTTAACAATATGTTGTCAAATTTTTGAAAGAAGATGAATGTGTATTACTGGTATAATTTTGTAGATAATACTCATTTTTTTTTTACAACTCATTAATTTATGAATTTAAATTTCTCTTAAAAACATACTCAAATCCCTAAGTAATACAGTAGTTACCATATACAGTGGCATATCTAATTTAACATACTTAGACTTTGCATTTTCAAATGCTTAAATCATTCAGGGCCGGGTTATCCTTATTAAACTGGCTAGTTCATTGGTCACTAGCATTTCCACAAAAACACATGGGAAAGGGTAGGGGAGGAGGTTTGAAATAATTTTCCCCCACTTTACAATTGCAGTTCATTGAACATTATACTTTATGTCTAGCATTGTGCTAAGTATTTTAAGAAATGCAAATACTCGTTTCACTGTCCTTGCACTTAAGGAGCTTATATCGTCTATATTCTTGCAGAGCTACAGAGACATAGTATTTTTAGCCCTTTGTTCAGGAGCAATAGAATGGTGCTGATGGACACAGTAGAAAAGCCTAGAAAATGTTAACTCAGTTCACTGAGAGAGTACAGGTAATGCAGTACTTAAAAAAACAAAACCCTTTTGTCTCTGGAATGTATCTGAGCAAAGCTTAATTGGTGGTGATCCAGAATTCATGAATAAACTAGAGTTATAGAAGATTGCCTATAAATAATTTATAGCCCATAATTGATAGTTTATAATGACTCCATTAAAAATTAATCATTTAGAAGGTTGGCAGATATCTCAATACCTGGTTGGCTTATTGTAAGTTAGGAGTGCTTTTCTTAACTGTTTTTCTCCCAAATACCATAAAAAGATAATTGAAATGGCAAGCATGGACAGCGTAAAAGTTGCAGTTCGAGTTCGGCCTTTCAATCAGGTAAGTACTTTGTGCCCATCAAAAGTTTCATGCTGATTTTGACTTAATAGTAGCAGGGATCAGCCTTCCCTTTAAGCAGTTTTTTTGGATGACTTAGACTTGTTTATACACATTATCTGAGTAGCTTCTTCCAGAAGCATCTTTTAGCCTTAATGTCAGATAAAACTTGCTAACAATTAGAATTGTTGAAAAATAAATTGGGCTACTTCAGGGAAGGTGGATTCCTTAACCTTGGAAGTCTTCAGGAAGAGGCTGAATGACCGTTTATCAGGAATCATGATGGGGATTTACTTTCTGGTATGAGTTGAACCAGATGACCATTGAGGTCCCTTCTACCGTTCCTCTTTTGTGATTCTGTAATTTATTTAAACACAAGTATATTCACTAGAAAAAGTAACGCAGTAGAAAGTAATCTAATGTCAGTCTGTCAAGTTAATTTTTTGGATATAAAGAAATATCTGAAGACACTCTTTCCAATATGTTAAAGTAGGATTTCTAAAACAAAATTGTGGGATGAAAATTTTTCTTTCCATGGTTTTGTTTTTTTAGTCCAGAAGTGGATCATACACAATCAAATTAACCAATTTTATGCTCTTTTAGTAAATCATAAAAACTTAACATGCCTTGCAAAAAATTTTTTATTAAAAGACTGTCCTTAGAAAATGTTGATTTGATTTGAGAATTTGCCGCATGCCACATTTCCAACTTGGGGCTAGAACACTTATTTGAGTAAAATGTATTAGTAAGTACTTTGAAAGTAAAAGTTGTTACAGCTTTTTTCATAAAACTACATTTTGTTTTACTGGTTTTAGTAATGTCAGTTTTCTCAGTAATTATATAATACCTTGTCACTGTGACATACTATTGTAAGGAACCTTTGAACTGATTACGAGAAGAAAGGATATCATTTTTTGGAGTTAAGAATGGTCATAATTTCACATCAGTTTCTGTTGTTTTTACATTGTTGTAGTCATTTCTGGCATATGTGCATGTGTTTGAACTGTGCTTCCCTCTCTCCCCCTTTGTCATAAGAGAGCCCCTCTGAGATGTGGAAAAATATGTATTGGGAAATGTAACAACATTTTAAGAAAAAAAAATCTAGGAAAAGGTTAACCCTAGAGAGGTCAAACAAAGCTGAACCATAGTTATAAAGAGCTCAACCAAGAAATTACCTAGTTAAATTCCTCTATGACTCATTTTGCTAACTATTAAATGCGCTGGACTTAGAATCTGGAAGACCTGCACTTGGAGCCTCCCTCAAGCAATTAATGTCTGTGTGACTTTGATTAAGGCCCTTGGTCTATCAGCCTCTTTCTTCATCAGTAGAATGGTGATGATAGCCCATTGCATTGGATTGTTAACGAAAATCAAATGTTAAGATGGTAATAATTCATATTTATGTAATGCGAAAATCTGCAAAGCACCTCATATTTATTTCATTTGATCCTCAGGACAGTCCTGTGGACCAAGTGCTAATGTACATATTTTGTGGGGAAAGGAAACTGAGGCACAGAGACATTGGGTGACCGTGCACAAGGTCAGAAGGGTGTTTGGGGCAGAATTCAAACCTAGATTATCTTCTTTACTCCCAAGTCTAGTGAATTGTCCACTATACCTGCCACGTTATGTAAAGTGTTTTGAAAACCTCTTTTTATCTGTTTGAATTAGTGATGTCATCTTCGCAGGTAGGTCTTGGGTGAGAAACCTTCCTCTATTATCTCATTTACACAGATTATATGAAGTTGCCTACAGCATTGAGAGGCTGTGATTTGTCAAGCAGCACACAGCCAGTATGTATCAGAGACAAGATTTGAAACTTGTTTGTCTTAAATGAGGCCAGCTCTATATCATTCCATCTCCTTTACAAACCTTAAAATTCTTTAGTCAGCTTTTATTATTAATCAGTAAACATTTATTAAGTACCTACTATGTTCTAAGCACTGCTAAGCACTGAGGATACAAAAAGAGGCAAAAGATAGTCCCTGCCTTAAATGATTGTTATTTTAAGAATCTGGGTAAGTACAGTATCAAATCACAGGTTGATGATTATCATCTTTGCTTTTGCTAATTGAAGAGTAATTTACCCCCTCCACACTCAAAAAAGTGGCACTGAAAAGCTCTTGTAATTGAAGGTAATCCTGGGTTGTAATAAATCTCAGGTAAATGGAGTGGATGGGTCTGACAACAAATGTTAAGACATTTAGTATTCTGCCTCAGTGGCTTCTCCCTCCCTCTTCCCTATTTTTTGACAAGTACAAGAAGGAAGTTGATTAGGAGAAAGGTGGGTTGAAGTTAAATTGGTTAGGCAGTCAAACGGTACAAGCTCCTTTGTACCTAGTGATTCTCTTAATCAGAATAGTAGGAAGAAGTCTAGGAACTAGGGTCATGGGCCTGAGGATGAGACAAGAGGTAAAAGCTCCTCAACTGGAGCCCAAGGCCACAGGGGTGGGCCCTTCCATTTTACGGAGAAGAAAGCTCTAATAGGTGGCATTGACCTTGATGACCAGAAAAGTGGCAGGCTTGAAACTGAACAAGAAAGGGTGAAAGCTCACCAGTCAGAGCCCAGTGGGATCTGAGTTACTGTATCAGATAAGAATAGCTGCCATTCTTAACAAAGGACTATTTTCTTACGTTAAAAAAAAAAAATTGTGGTTAAAACTGATTAAGAGAATTATAGGCTATGGTAAAGCAAAACCTTGTGTAGTTTGCCTACACAATATAATTTCACTCCATCCAGCTCCTAAACAACTTCTTGTGCCTATCAAAAAATATTTAGAGAAGGGGGAAGAGGGAGAAGGCATTGAGTCAACATGAGGAAGTCACAGTCTTTGAAGTTGTTTCCTCATCTGTAAGATGGGGGGACAATTTTATACATACATACATAAATAATCTATGCAGTGTTAAAGCACTTTTTAAACCTTAAAGCGCTGTGTAACTCAGCAATTAATATTTATGTTTGACCCTGTTATACTATTTAACGTTTTCAATAAACGTCTGATTTATAGTTATGCTACCCAAAATGTGACGGATCTGAGAAGATACACAGGCATAGTATTTAGATGGGAGACCACTTGTGGATACAGGGTGTTAATAGGCTTTGGGGGGACATTATAGCTGTCTGATGTTGTTATGTGGAAGAGGGATGATACTTGTCCTCTCTAACCTCACAGGGAAATACTAAAATTGGTGGAAGTTGCAAAGGGGCAAATTTAAGCTTGGTATCAGGAAAAACTTCTTAAAGGCATTCAGAAATAAAATAGGCTGCCTCAAGAGGTGGTGGATTCTTAGGAAAGCTCTTAGGAGACTTACACTAAAGCTGAATAACCACTTGTGACAGGTTATAGTGGGGATTCCTTTGGGGGTATGGGAATGGAAAGAATGGAGTCCTAACTCTAAATTTTATGATTCTCTTCCTCAAGTAAAGGCATAGAAAGCATGCTTATCAAGGTCACAGATTACAAAAAATTAACTGGAACAGCTAATGCATTGGATGACAGAGCCATGGTCCAAAAAGAACTTGACATGGGGCAGGCATAAAATATAATAGAGATGGGGCAGCTAGGTTGTGCAGTGGATAGAGCACCAGCCCTGAAGTCAGGAGGACTGGAGTTCAAATCTGGCCTCAGACCGAACACTTGATACTAGCTGTGTGACCCTGGGCTAGTCACTTAACCACCACTGCCTAAAAAAAAAAAAAGTAATGGAGACGAGAGGGTGTCTGTGCATGATTAGATTACTGTTTTTCTGAAAGTGATCTGGTGGTCTTAGTGAACTGAAAGCTCAACGAGTCAATAATTTGATATGGCAGCCAGTAAACCTAATGTGATCTTGATCTGATAGATATGGGCTACAAGTCTAGAAAATTGATAATCCTATACTCTGCTTTGGTCAGACCACAATTGGAATATATTTATTTCTGAATGCCACGTTAAGGAAGGACTTTGGTAAACAAGTATTCAAAGAAGAACCACCAGGATGAAGTCTAAGGATTATGTTATGTAAGGATGGATTGAAGGAATTAAGAATGTTTAGCCCAAACAAGAGAAATCATGGGAGATTAGGAGAGAGCAGCATGATAGCTGTGTTCAAGTATGAAGGGCAGTCATATAGAAGAAAAATAATGGACACTCTTTTTGGACCCGGAGTGCCAAACTAAACATGGGTGGAAAGAGCAATGAGGCAAATTTTAAGATAAAAAGAAAAACATCCAGATAAATGGAGCTATCCAAATGGTCTTAGGAAATATTTTGTTTCTCTGTACTAGCGGCCTTAAAACAAAATCTGGATCATCACTTTTCAGGCATTTTATACAGAGAATTCTTAATCAAGCATCACACAGCCTTGATCCCTTCCAATTCTGAAATTGTGATTTTGTGCTTAGCAATAGAAAACAAAAGAGGCCCCAATGTCTATATCCCTAATTTGGGTGGGGGATAGGACAAGTGAGTCACTTGTCTAAGAATTTACAAAGCAAGACAAAACCTGTCTAAGACTCTGAGACAGCACAAAAATATTCACCTTTTCTAACAACAAAGAAGAATGCATCTTCAGAAAAACAAGCTTATTGTTCAGTCACTGGGACTTATGACTTGATTTCAGGTATATTGCATTATTAGCTACAAATAAAATAAATACAAATTTAATTAGATAATAAAAAGCTATCTGTAATTATTCTAAGACTGTTTCTGGTTTGCTTTTAGCGAGAGAAGAATGCAGGAAGCAATGTGTGATTTCAATGCAATCTGGGACTACCACCACTATATATTGACCCCAAGAACCCAGAACACATAAAAATTTTTACTTTTGATTTGGCATATTGGTCTCACAGTGGTTTTCAAAGGGACAAAGATGGTGTACTTATTTCAACCGGTCCTAACAGCGAATTTGCAGGCCAGGTAAATTGTTTTAAAATGAAATTTCTTTTTTTTTAACATCTACAAAATGTTGATATAAGATAAAAATAGATTTTGACAATTTTACCAATACATATTGGTAATTATAGATATGGTAAGACTGTATATTTCCTGCATCCAAATAAATGATGCCTTTCAAAGTAGTTGTCTTGAGAGTATAAATCTTTATCCCTGTAATATTGCCATGGTTCTACATGTTTTTGGAACATTTGTAATTGCATCCAAAATCTACTTATGGAAAGGACTGTTCAGGCACTAGAGAAGATGAAAACAACAAAGATGTTGCCCCTCCCTCATAGACTTTTTAGCAATACATATTTTAAAATTTCTTCTATTGTAGCAATCGTCATCATTTGAGGATTGATATGATTTTTCAAAACACAAAATTCACTCCTGGTTCAGTGTGGTGAAAAAGATGGATGATCAAACAGGATAATAACTATTTGTGGTTTAAAAAAAAAAAGGGAATGGCTATAAAGTAATGAAACTCATTTCCTTGTATAACCCCTAAATTGACTCCAAAAACAATTTCAAAAGAAGTATGTTGGATTAAGTGAGACTCATTACTTCCCTACCTCACTTCTTTCTCCCACCTTCCCCAGCAGAATATAAATTCTTTGAGGGCAAGAGACTTTTTTTTTTTTAACTTTGTATGAACAACACCTAGGATCACATACCCCAGGTCCATTTCTACCTGGGCTGTTCAGGCTTTTGCTTCTTTCAATCACCCTGGGTACTATTAGAGTCTAGGAGGGTACTAGAAAGGATACTCATATCTGAGCTTCATCATTCTACCAACTGGGAAGCAGTCAAGGCAGAAAGCCTTCTAGGCTTCGGCCACAGGGGTCCTTCCTTGGAAAATTGCTTAGCCAGAAGTCTTAAGCTTGAGTGGTGGGGGAGGAGAAAGATTAGGGGATGAAATCTTTGCTTTATGAGTGCAGGTTGGCAAGATCTTCCACATCCCATAAATAAGAGTAGGTAGGCATGGAGTTCTCAGCTTCTGTGAGTGCTTTGCATGTTTTTGGACATCATCTCTTCTGACCTCAATGTCTTTTTGCAGGCTTTTTTTTCACTGCTAGTTTCTTTGGGATGTATATAAGCTCCTGGCAAAAGTACCTTTTCTCTCTTCATCACAGTGATTAGCCAGTTTGCCTCATTCTCTTCCTCTTTGGCCAGGTGTTGTTTGTATTCCAGATTTACGGAGCCTGCTGTCAGCTTTGACTTCTTTCTCTGGGTCTTTTACTTTTCCATTACTTTCTGTCTGTCCTTATCTTCCTGCTCTGAATCATCCTCATCTTTGTAATCCTCATTTTCTCCATTTTATTCCTCTTCTATTCATCCTTGTTTCCTGTGTTCATATCCTTTGTGGGACACTCAGTCTAGACACTTGGAGACTTGGTAAAATCTATAGACACTTAGATGAATAATAAATTGAGTAAAGGAAATAAGGAAGGGCAATCAGGTAAAGCATTCATTAAGCCTGTTCTTTTTGTTCTGTAAAATTTTGATTCAGTCAAAAGGCCACATTTAAGGATTTAGAAGGCCACAGGTTCCCGACCCCGGCCCTAGGCATGAAATGGTGATCCCAGGCAGAAACGCACTGTTCAGGAAAACCAAGAGAGCAGAGTTGTAAAAATTAAAGGGAGAAAAAAGAGTCTAGAAAGTCTATAGTATCACAAATTACAGAGAAGTCAGATGATCCTTTGGATTTAAGAGACTCTTAGGAACCTTGTCAAGAGCAGTTTTAAAAAGTAAGTCTAGGTCTAGATTCTCCTTGATTCTTTGAGAGAAAGTTGTAGGAAAAGGAGTAAGGAAATAGTGGTTTGGAGGGGTCTGGACTTCTGCAGAAGGACAAGGATTAAATTTGGGAGAATTTGAGGATAAATAAGGAGAATAACCTAAATTGAAAGAGAAGGGCTTAATCTGAAGGAGTTCTCCACCTGAAGAAAGAAAAGGATTAAGGCAAAAGGACCTGAAGAGAAGAATTCAAGAAGATGGTTGGCAATATAAGAAAATAAATGAGTAAATTGGTAAATTAAATAGTGAAAGAAGTATGAGATAAGTTAGAAAAGGGAAAAAAAATAGAGCACAACTGTAAAGTTGTTACGGAAACAAAAGCAAGTTGGAGAGTTCAAATTTTTAAGAGGTGATAAAAGCCTGTTAAAAGACTTAATGAGGTGCTTAGAAGGTGAAGTATAAGCTCTCCTAAGTCATTTTAAAAGCAAGGCCAAGATTCCTATTCATTATAGAAATGGAAAATTTTGCAATGCCTTATATTGAGTATTGTTTGTATTTCTGCCACACTCAAGTAACTACTATCTATATTTTGCTTATAAGCTGATCTGCCTCCCCAAAGAGAAAGTGAAATGACATTTTTCCACACTCCCCGTTAACAGGGACAATGAAGTATTCTTTAAAAAACAAAGACTTGGGGTGGAGGGGGGGGAGGATTTGAAGTGGCAGAATCTTGGCAGAAGGTTGGAGAGTGGAAGAATGTCTCACAGCAGAGGATGAAGAGAAAAAGGACAGTGATCCTTAGAGCTTAAAAAAGAAAAAACCAAAAATCAAATTTGAAACTTTTCATGGAGAAGGAGCTAGATCCTCTCAGGAGGAAATAGTGGTATTGCCTCCAAATGATAAAGTAGATCCATAGAAGTTCTTATCTAGTAGGGGTGAAAAAGAGGAGGAGGAAAAGGATTAAGTGGTGATGATTCCCTGTACTGCGGCAGCTCTTTGACAACCTAATAGCAATAGAGATGTCTGTTGTCTTCCCAGGATACTTGTGGTATGTTATGATTTCCCAAGGCTTCTCAAAACAGATGACTACTATCGGCTTCCAGTGATTCATGTGGGCACAAATGATATTTCTAGAAGGAATCTAGAAAGTGTTACCAAAGCTACAAAGTTTAGGCAATAAACTGAAGACCACAGGGGCATAGGTTGTATTTTCCTCACTGCCATCAATTGAATGCAAGGAATGCATAAAACTTACCAAGCAAGTTAGATTTTTTAAAGATGTGTAGGAAAGATAGGAGCAAATATAGGTAAGAGAATGAATGTTAGTGTGGCACAGTCTTGTGAAAATGTCAGAAATGTCACATGATGAGGTGAAGTTGACAAGGAAAGCTGACAATGAAAAGATAGTCCTTTTTTTTCTGAGTTGGAGGAAAGAGAAGGATTAAAGAAGGGAAAGGACTATTTCTCAGAAAGAATGGTATTGATAAGTAAAAACAGAGAAGGCAATATTGTTTAATTCTCACCTTGCTTATGTTTTCTCTGCCAAGGAGAATTACTTGGCACTAGAAAAGAGAAAACAAGAGGGCAACTAGGTGGTGCAGTGGATAGAGCATTGGCCCTGAAGTCAGGAGGACCTGAGTTCAAATCCAGACTCAGACACGTAACACTTACTAGCTGTGTGACCCTAGGCAAGTCACTTAACCTCATTGCCTAACAAAAAAAGAGAAAACAAAAATTACTAACGGAGAGTTAATATGCACAATAAGTAAGGAAAATCATGAGGGGAGTACCCAATTTCCCTTGATGAATTCAATGCACCAGACACAGATAAACTACATCTTTGAGTATTGAAAGAACTGCCAAGTACAATTTCTGCTCCTGGGGAAATTCTAGAATGAATCACTTTTTTCAAAGGATGCAATATGATATCATCAAGAAAAGGTCATGCCAAACTAACCTTTTCCCCTTTTTTGACAAGGTTACCAAAGTTCAAAGAAATATTGTAGGTATAGTTTATCTAAATTTTAGCAAACCATTTGAGAAGGTATCATTTTCTTGTGGAAAAAATACATACTGTGTGATAATATACTGAGTAGGTAGATTCAGTCAAATGGTTAAACTGAGAGTAATTGATTGGTTAATGTTTCCATTTTAGCCTGGCAGGAGTTCTGCAGCTGAGTGGCTCACAGATCTGCAACAGCCCAGTGTTGGTTAATATTTTTAACAGTGACTTGGAAGAAGGCATAAATAACATGTATCAAATTTTCTAATGACAGAATCTAGGAAGTCAATCTATCCCACTGAGTGACACAATTTGAAAAGATTGTGAAGATGAAATTCATCAGGGGTAAATGTAAAGTCTTAAACTTGGGCTGAAAAAAATCATTTTTGCAAGTACAGGGTGGCTACATGACTAGATGACAATTAGTCTGAAAAAGACATGGTCATTTTACCGGCCCTGAAGTCAGGAGGATCTGAGTTCAAATTTGACCCCAGATACTTACTACCTGTGTGACCCTGGGCAAGTCACTCAGTGTTTTGCCTCAGTTTCCTCATCTGTAAAATAAGCTAGAGAAGGAAATGGCAAACCACTCCAGTATCTCTGTCAAGAAAACCCCAAATGGAGTCAGGGAGAGTAGAACATGACTAATTAACACAACAGTGGCAACCATACCACACAGCTAGTAGGTCTGTGAGGCAGAATTCAAATTCAGGAATTCTTGATTCCCCATTCAGCACTCTATCCAGCTTCCCAGAAGAGAACATTCTAACTCCTTTGTTTAGCATATGAAGCCCTTCACAGCCTGGCTCCAGGCGGCTTGTCCACTCATATATATTATCCCCTTTGCGCACTCTTTGTTTCAGCCAAACTACCCTACTTCTGGCTTCTCACTCGTGATACTCTATCTTGTGTCTGTGCATTTACATGCCATCCTCACTTCTGCAGCTCCGAATGCTTGGATTCCTTCAAAGCTGGGTTTGTCCTCTCTCCTTACATCATATATTTCCCAAACCGCCTCCCCCAGATTGCAAATGCCCCCACTGAAATTATTTCATATACGGTTTGTATTTACAAAAATCATTTACAAAGTATGTTCAAAGGATCAAATGAGATAATATATGCAGAGCACTTTGTAAACCTTAAAGTACTATATAAGTGCTAGCTATTATTATTTTCCTATGTAAAAATTATTTAAATATTGTTGTTTTATATATCGTTGTTTTGCCTAACGGTTTCATGTCCTTGGAACCAAGAACCATTTATATTTTTTCTTTGTATTCCCATCTCCTAGCACAGTGCCCAGTACCTGATAGGTGCTTATTAATGCTTCTTTTTGTCATTCTCCATTTGCTAAGCTTTCCCAACTGTGATCTTTGTAGAGAGATGTTTTTCGTGACCTTGGTCAAGGAGTTTTGGACAGTGCTTGGCAGGGTTATAATGCCACCCTCCTGGCCTATGGTCAGACTGGTTCTGGGAAAAGCTACTCCATGATTGGTTATGGTGCAGACAAGGGCGTAATCCCAAATGTGTGTGAAGAACTCTTTAAAGCCACTGAAAACAAAGAGAAAAACCAGCAGTATCAGGTAAGATTTATTCTACCAGTGTCAGTAGTTCTAGGTTTCTGGTTCAGTGGAATTTTATTTTATGTGAAAATCTCCCAAATGATAAATGATGACCATTTTTGTGTTTCAGGTAAAAACCAATTTTACATGTCAACTAGACCAACTATTTAAGTATGACTGTAAATCAAATTGTTAAGCACAAAGTTGATTTTTTTGTCTCTGCATGCAAACCATTAGAAGTTATAAAAAGTGATTTTGCACAGAACCAACCATCTTCAGTAATCATCAGAGATCTATTACATCCTATTTTTCTACATTTTTCCAGTTACTTAATTGTATTATTTGTGTTAGATTTGTCTGAAAAAGGCACACATTGGGCTTCACGATTATTATTATAGTTTTGCTCTCTTATTTCTCCTTGTCATTCAATTGACTTTTTCTGCAATACTTTGATGCCTTGCCATGTAGTGAATATATATATATAAAGTATTGATATTATTTTATCTATCTTTAAGTATAATGTAGTTTCCCTCTTTCACTCTTGTCTGTTTTTGCTTTTGCCTTGTTGTCATGATTGCTACCCTTGTCTTTTGAAGTTTCTAAAAACATAATAAATTTTGTACAGCCCTTCATTTTAACTCTGTCAATCTTGGTTTCAGGTATGCTTCTTATAAATGATATTTTTTTTAATTCTCTTTTCCAATCTTCTCTGATTCCCCTTAATGCTTGGGTAAGACTCATCCACTTCATTGTCATACGTGTTCATGGGATCACAACTGGAAGGGTCTTCTGAGGCCATCAGACCTAACCCTTCATTTTACAGATTACAAAGGGGCTAAGTAACTTGTCCAGGGTCACATAGCTAACAGGTGTCTGAGGTGGGATTCAGAACCAGTTCTTCCTGACTACAAAGCCAGTGCTCCATCCACCATACTCAGGCCTTTATTTTACAGGTGAGGAAAGTGAGGACCAGGAAAGTCAAATAACTTCCTCAAGGTTACAGTGCTGGTCATTGGCAAAGTAAAGATTGTTTTTCTTTTTATCCAAAGCACAGCAATCCAATTTCTCACCCTAACTAGTATGCATGACTTTAAAGTATAAGGCTTTATTTTAGACCCTGCTATAAATGGATGTTTGGTGATATTTTGGAAACAGAAGTCAACTGACCAGTGCAATCAGCTATTTCTACTTCTTCCTCACAGCAACCAGGATTGAGGTTGGTGATGAGGAGACTAAGAAATGCAGTTGTTTTTTTTTTCCCTTCAAGTTTAACCATTCAAATCAGAGTTTATACTTCCCCTGTGGAAGGTCAAAGAAAGATAAATCATCCATCAGTGAGCTGTGGGAGGAACTGTGTGGTAAGCAGAAATTCAAGTCAAAAGAACTGTATTAATGTCCCGACTCTCCTACTTTTATTTTTTGAGCAAGACACTTGATCTCTCCATGTCTCATTTTCTTCATAATTTGTAAAGTAAGACAAGATGATTGCTGAATTATCTTCTAGGTATAAGCCCTTTAATCCTGTGTGAAAGAAATGACTAGCCAGTTTGTTTAAAGAACTAAAGCAAGATGACTTTAATTTAAGGATGGTGTCCATTGCCTCCATTTCATGTTTATTCTGAAATGATTACCTGTATTTCAAAGATAACTTTAGAGAGAATCATTCAAAACAATGTTTACTTTCTTTATACTTTTGTCTTGACAGGTGACATTCAGTATGCTGGAAATTTACAATGAACAGGTAAAAATAAGTGCATTTTCCAATACTTTCTGATTACCACTTTCCAGACTATAACTTCCTTAGTGGCAGAAACCATATCTTAATCATTTTTATCTAGAACAGTACTTTGCTTGCACATAGCAGTTGCTCTGACTGATTAAATGATCAGTATTTTTCCAGTTTTCTTTTCTTTTTTTTTCTTACATAAATCACGTATGACCTGGTAATGACAAATCCTTCTGGGCTCAATTTTCCCATCTATAAATTTTAAGAGCTGGGAAAAAATAATTTCTGAGCTTCTTCTAATTCTAGCATCCTATGTTACTATATTGTTTTCCCTTTACTACTTTCTATTGTTGGATACTTCAGTGGATTTGGGATATCAGTGATGTGGATACCCCTTCCAATGATGTAGATCACAACCCATCCATCACTCTTATCTTGTACAACTCTTCTTTGAGTCTTGCAATGTTTAATTACACCTAGTGTTTAGAGGGGATATAAGTGGTGCACATGGGCTGACAACTGGTCATCTCTCATTCTTACCACATAACTAGCCTAACATTTTTTTCTGCTTGTACACATCTCAAACTTTATATCATGTTTCTCACACCATTCTTAATGGTTGAAGTCTGCTTTTGTTCATCATTTACCTCCCCATTGTCATTTCATCGTCCATCGAGTTTAATTCTTTAGAGACTGAATTTCTCTGACTTACAGCCATATAGCATCACCAAAAGAATATTGTTGCTAAAAATATAAGTCTTTATATGGGGATTTGCTAACTGAGGTTATCTCTCAAGGCTCTATTCTGGGCTTTCTTTTCTTTATCCCCTGTACTATTGGTTGGGGCAATCAGACTATACAAGCTTTTTTTTTTTTTTTTTTTTTACATTTTATGTTTTTTATTTTATATCATATGTATTCTTTATTTTTTGTGATATCTTTATTATAATTCCTTTAATCAGTATTGTCCAACACAATTTCCTTGATATCGGGAAAATACTTCAGTAAGTATGATAGAAGTTCTTATCTCACCTAGTACTTAAGATCCTACCCTATCACTCTGGGCTCTGTTCTGTGAGCTTGTACCTCATCTTGCCTGGTCCCAGGCCCACCACACCATTTCCTGGACTTTTCCATAGACTGCTACATAGACAAGAATCACAGAAGATGAGGGGTGTTGAGAGGTTTCAGTCTCCATCAGTGGAAGAACTCATACCAGTGAAATCAAGGATCTCTCAAGTTCCTAAGTTTGTGTCCCTATCTCATCGATTTAGCTATTTCCTCCAACGATGTAGATCCCCACCCATATATACCTGAGTATCCTGTGCAGGTCCATGTCTTTCTCCAGCTCCTCCATGGGTGTATCCATCGTGATATTAGATCTTCCTCTAGTTCTCTTTGATACTGTGTCACCAATCAAACATATGTCCAGTCCATCTGACTCAATTAAATATTTCTTTGACAATGATATCTTTTATATTACTTCCTGATAGTCTGTCATTTGTAATTTGTGGCAAACCCCTCATGCCTACCATGTGCCTTTCCATTGCCCTTCAGATGACTTCAACTTTATTTCTTTAGAGATTGTACTGTAGTGTTCCATGACTTAAAGCCATACAACATCTGATACAAACTTCTGATTATCAGTGGTACTCAATAAAAAACTGATTTATTCAGGCATTAGTATTTCCCTTCTGAATTCTGTACTTGCCACACCAGCCTATCATTTCCTTATGATAGGTTACCTATTCATTTATGCAAGCAGGTAAGTTTGGCTATGGCCACAATGTAGCTCAGATTAAGGAAGGAAGAAGCATATTGAAGTGTATGGGGTGTTCAGGGAGGACTAGCACCTCTGATATGAGGGCTTGCTGAGCCCTTCTTAGGGCTATTCATTTACCTTTGGTGTCTACCTTCACCCAACTCTCTCATCTGTGACTCCAAGAAGCTGTAGCATGTGCAGCGGCCACCTCAAAGTAAAACCCTCTCAGCAGACAGGCTAAACCAGGTTCAGGTAACCAAAGAGTCTCAAACCCTTCAGTGAGTTGGGGGGGTTCCTACCCATACATATGAGGACTTCCCCAGCCAAATGGGTGCGTGAGAACAGTGTGTTCCAGTGGCCACAAAGAAGGCTGAAGCAGGCACTGTGGAAACACTTAGAGCTTGGTCAGACATCAGTCTCCAAGGTCATCCAGTGAATCCTGGGCCATCTCTTGTCGTCTTGACTTTTGTCCTGCAACAGGATTTCGGTGACTCTGGGAGAGTGAGGCTGATAACTTCACGAAGCTCTGCCTCACTTAAATCTAGTTCCCAAGCCAGTTGGAACATCATCCATGATGTCATTGGTCCTCTTTGGAAATGAAAGACACAACAAATGATGATTTGCATCTGTTGACTAGCCTGGTAACTGTTTCTCATCACATGCTTTTCCTTAAAAAAAAAAAAATCCTAATGTAAGAGCTTAGGAATGTTGGGAATCTTTGAAAAACTCTAATCCCACTCACTTATTTACCTATGAGGAAACTGAGGCCCCTAAAAGTTGACTTACTCAAAGTTATATAGCTAGTTAGTTGCAGATACTAGATTAAAATCCAAGTCTTCCAATTTGTTAGCTTAATTTCAACTACTTAAAGTATTTGAAAGTAATAAAATTATTTCTCTAAAAAATTCTATAATTCTTTTATACCCAGAAACTCCACACAAAGACTTAAGTAACCCTTTGTCCTTGTTTTTCCTGTAGGTTAGGGATTTGCTCTCTAAAACCAAGAAGCCTGGAGGGCTTAAGGTAAGAGAAGATCAGCACCAAGGCTTTTATGTAGATGGTTTGACTTCTGTACCTTGTGACAGCTACGCACAAATTGAGAGGCTAATGGAACAAGGCATTAAAGCCAGAACTACTGCAGCAACAAGCATGAATGCCACCAGCAGCCGGTCCCATATGGTCATCACCATTCAATTTAAACAGGTATGACTCTGATGTTGTTGTTTCCATCTATAACCAAGAGGCATTAAGTGAAATACCTTGAAAGTGATTATATCAGCTTGGTGCCCAGACAGGCTTGACCAATACGTAAGGTGTCCATATTTCAGACCAAAGAATGTGGGGATAAAGCAAGATGAAAAAGAGAAGTCTACTCTTCCCTCTTCACTATGTTCCTTAAGACTAAGTGAGCCTCACCATGGTGATTCAGTAAGGGGGAGGGTCATGGATATATCCCAGCACTAAGGCAGTATACCTGGAATTGGAGATTATGTTTCCCCATATACATACTGTGTTCTGGAAAGAGGTTCTAAGTCATACTGGTAGCATAGTACAAAATACTAAGAATTAGTCTGAATTAGAATGCTGAAATAAACCAGCTTTTAACAATTTAAAGTCACTCTGCTAACACCTCTGCACTTCTAGTGATAACTATTGTTCAAATATAATCACCATGAGAAAAATTTTTTAAAATCCTTCTAAATCATCAAAAAACTATTATATTTAGGATGTTTTTAGTGTTAAGCATTTGTGCCTGTACTAAAGTCCTAATGTTCACCCTGGATTCTCAAAATGTAAGCCAGCAGAATACCAAGTCCTAGGACCTCCTAGCCCCATAGGAAAAGCTCAGAGTATGGGACTGGTAGCAGACTATTAGTTTGTTCTCTAAGGACAGGCCTTACTAAGATCAAAGGAGCCCATTACCAGTGGTTTCAGAGTGATTAATTTTTTTTTTTTGGCAAAAGTAATTCTTAAAGAAAATGTTTGCTGTTAAGTTTTGTTTCTCATACAACAAACCAAGATAAACCAAAAACAAAATATGCTTCATGAAATGAGTTGAATGAAAAAGTGATAGTCATTGATGATACATGCCACCGTATACTTTTGTAATTTACTATTGGTTGAAATAAAGGAAGGGAGGGAGCTAAGATGGCGGAATACAGGTAGCAGCACAGACGAATTCTCCCGACATTCCCCTCCGAACAACTTTAAAATAACTCCTCAAATCAAATTTTGGAGCAGCAGAGCCAAAAAAAGGTCAGAGTGAGACATTTTTCCAGCCTAAAACAACTTAGGAGGTTGGTAAGAGAGGTCTGTGACACCAGGGTAGGGGCCCAGTTGGAAGCTCAACAGCAGCATAAGCAGTGGGCCTTGGAGACGGCAGCCTCGGCACTACTGGCAGCAGCCTCATGAGCTCTCAGCCTCGAGATGGTAAGGGGATTGGACAACGGGTCAGAAAGAGATTGCCAGGGGCCTTTGGTTGGCACTGGGTGTGGCTGGCACTAACTGGCAACTCTATCGCCCATAAGCAGTTCTGGGGCACAGTTCCAAGGTACAGAGGAGCGTTTGTGATCAGTCACGGGGGAGCAGGAGCTCTGGTCACAGTTCTAAGACAGGAAGGAGCACCAACCCTTGTGGCTTCGGCAGAACAGGGAACTTGGTCATAGTTCTAGGGCCAGGAGGAGAGCTATTGCTTGTGGCTGCTTCTTGGGTAAAGACCAGAGACAGAGCAGGAGAGCAGTGACTATACTTCTCCCCTGATCACACCCTGTTGGAAACACTGAAAGCCTGCAGACCCTACGAACTAGTTCTGAAAACAGCAACTTGATGAAATCATAAGCTTGTGACAGTGCCTCCCTACTCCCAGGTGAGTAGAGCCAAATTTCAACATAATGTTCAAAGTAGAAAAATAGACTGGAAAAAAAGATCAAACAAACAAACAAACAAAAAATTGACCATAAAAAGCTATTATGGTGGCAGGGAAGACTGAGACATAGACTCAAAAGAAGACAACAATGTGAAAACAGCTATAAGCAAAGCCTCAAGAAGAATGCTAATTGGACCTAAGTCTAACAAGAATTCCTAGAAGAGTTAAAGAAAGTGATAAGATAAGAGTGGTAGAGGGAAAATTGGGAAAAGAAATGAGAGTAATGCAAGAAAATTATGGAAAGGGAATTAACAACTTGGTAAAAAGAGGCAGAAAAATATGCTGAAGAAAATAAAACCTTAAAAAACAGAATTGGCCTAATGATAAAAGTACCACAGAAAAAATTACTGAAGAAAAGACCTCCTTAAAGAGCAGAATAGGCCAAATGGAGAAGAAGGTACAGAAATTCACTGAAGAATATAATTCCTTAAAAAGTAGAATTGGGGGGCAGCTAGGTGGTGCAGTGGATAGAGCATCAGCCCTGGAATCAGAAGGACCTGAGTTCAAATCTGGTCTCAGATCAGACACTTGACATTGACACTTAGCAGCTGTGTGACCCTGGGCAAGTCACTTAACCCCAATTGCTTCACAACTAGATAGATAGATAGATAGATAGATAGATAAAGTAGAATTGGGTGAGTAGAAACTAATGACTCCATATCAAGAAACAATAAAACAAAGTCAAAAGAATGGGAAAAAAAATAGAAAATGTGAACTATCTCATTAGAAAAAAAACAAAAACAAAAACAACTGACCTGGAAAAGAGACTGAGAAGAGATAATTTAAAAAATATTGGACTAGCTAAAAGCCATGTTCAGAGAAAGGCCCTAGACATCATATTTCAAAAAAACATAGCCCCAATATCTTAGATCCACCTTATCGTTATTAGGGCAGTTAGACGGAGTCTTCGTAGACATACGGCATGGGTGTGAGTCAGTTATGTTGGGATAATTTACTGTTCTACTTATTACTTCAGTTTACCTCGTTACCACATCTTTTTTCCACCTTGATATTTGGGACAAGGGTGTGAGCAATCTTCTCTCTAAAACTCTAAGGAGTTCTTAACCTTTGTTGTATCATAGACCCCTTGGCAGTCTGATAGAACCTATGGACCCCTTCTCAGAATAATGTTTTTAAATAATTGAAAGAAATACTAAATTTCAGTTCATAGTTAGTGAAAATAGAGGTGCAATTTTTCCCCAGCCACATTAACAACCTCCCTGAAATTTACAGATAGTCCATAGATCCCAGATTAGGAATCCTATTCCAAAAAGAAGTAATGAACAAAAAAGCTACATGTTATTTTGGAGAAAAGTGCAGGAGACAGATTTGGCACCATTTTCTGCTTACTTATAACTTAATCTGGATATTTAGCAAGAGTTCTCTATTTATGCATTCCTATTTGCTGAAAAATATACTAAAGAAACCAATAGAATCTAATGTATTCCTGGAAAATGGCTTTGAAAAATCATAGCTCCCTTTTATATAATGCTTTTAAGTGAATAAAATACTCTCAATAACCCTGTGAGTATGTAAGTAGATAACATGAGAATTAGTATTCTCATGTTCAGATGAGTAAACAGGAATATTAAACAATGTAGTGGTATGGAGAGTCCTAAGGCCTCCCTTAGTAGATGTGGGTTCAATTCCTGGCTCAGATACTTAATAACTTACTTAGCTTTACTTCACTTCAGTTTCATCATCTGTAAAAGGAGATAATAATGCTTCACCTCACAGGGTACTTGTGTGTAAAGAATTTAGTAAACTTTAAAATGATATTTAAACATGAGCTGCTCTCATTATTATAGTAGCCAAGAGACTAAATGGTTAAAAGGTAGACCTGGGCAAGAGCCAGCTCAGGTCCTGAGATGCAGAGTCTGAAAATGAACTTGATGGCTTAAAGGTGTTTTGAGAATTGTTCTTCCATTCCCTTCCCACCCCTTGTTTTGTAGGGAATCCACCAACATTCTAGTCTAGGTTAACTGAAACCTGGATGAATTGGTCAGGAGAACAAAAGGAAAAGCTAATGAAGAAGTATCATACCTATTACTAAGAGATAAAGTGGTAGAGATGGGGGCGGGGAAAGCTGATTGCAAAACGTGCTTACATTGGTAGGGGGCTAGAAAGGGGTTGAAGGAAGAGAATGGGGAAGGGCTGAATGGAATGATACCTGTGTTCATTGTGTGGAAAGAAGGTCTGAAGCCTTGGTGACTTTGTAGAAGTTGAACTGAATTATCGTCTTCTCCTGACTAAGCTGAAGTCACATGAGTCAGAAAAATGTTTCAGATCTCTCTTTGAACATCTCTTATCCTTGCCACTCTTCAGCCTAAAAAATGAGTTTAAATCAAGGGCATTTGTTGGCAGTCTAATAAAACCAATGGACTCCTAATCAGAATAATGTTTTTAAGTACATAAAATAAAATACACATAATTACAAAAGAAAGCAATTATCTTGACAGACATTTTTCAAAAAGCCGAAAACCAGTGTGCAGTCCTCAGGTTAGGAACACCTGTGAGGGAGGCCATGCCTAGTTTGTGGTTTTAAAGACTAATGTTGATGAAGATACAGCATATGGTACCCTAGGGGTTAAAGAGAATATTAAGGGCCGCTTTTCCAGTACTTCCTGAGCTCATTCTGTAACTTGAGAACATCTTAAAAGTCCTTTTCCCCTTATCTTCAAACATCATAAAACTTCTCCTTACCTTGTACCATAAAATTACCCAAAAAAAAAATTCCTTCTGCTTCCCTTATCCTGGACCATAAAATTCCTTGTCTCCCTCATCTCTCACACCCATGCCCTCTGTCTATGCAGACTCCTTCTAACTGCCCTAATAATGATAAGATGGATCTAAGATATTGGGGCAATCTTCCTTTATGATTTTTTGAAAAAATGATGTCTAGTGTCTTTCTTTGAACATGGTTTTTAGGTAGTCCAATATTTCTTAAATTATCTCTTCTCAATCTCCTTTTGGTTTCTTTTATCATCATAAAATTCCCCCCATCTTCCTTATCCTGTCCTTATCTTGAACCACCATAAAGCTTCATCCTCATCTGAAGCAGCTACAGGCTTTCTGTCAGAATTTTACTATACAAGCCTAGCTTCCCCAAATACCAACCATCTTAATTGTAGCCTCACTGATACAGTACAGGTCCATGTGCTTTCACATTAATAAAGCTCCTGATGGCTAAAGAAAATGTCTAAGTGAATTCTTTCACGCCCAAACCACTCTCCTGAATCTGACCTCAACAATGTGAAGCTTAGAGAAGTTAATCAGAGCCTCTAGTCTCAAAACCCAGTGGTTTTTCCCATCAAATATTATAGAATGTCAATTCCAGAGTAGAAAGCATTTATCATTTTGCTTTATTCTTCAGTTTTCATTTTTAATAATCTCTACTATATTAATCAAGAGATTTCTACAGTAACAATTTCCCTTTCTTCTTTCAGATGCAAGATTCATTTGGAAAGGATATTTTTAATGATCTGCTTTTGTGGGTGGATGCATGGCCTTCTACAATTTTTAAGTAATGGATGCTTCATTTTCTTAAATAGGTTTTTCTTGATGGAGACCTCACCAAGCAATCCATTATTAATTTGGTGGATTTGGCAGGTAGTGAAAGGCAAAAATCCTCTGCATCTGAAGGAGACAGATTGAGAGAAGGGTCACGTGTTACCTTGAGTTTAACCACACTGGGCAATGTAATCAGGTAATGGAATCAAGAAGGAAGCATCTTTCTAACATTTGTAACATAAATTTTAGATGATATTCAAAGTGGCTTTTTCTTTAAGACTTTTTAAATCCATTTATTTTGAACATTAGAATTAGGTATTATAAAAAATATGAACAAATTATAAAAAATATACAAATGAAGACTGATATTTTAGGAAAGCAACCTAAAAACTGGCTTTTCACACTTTAGATTTGTGGTGCATGTCTGAGAACCAGGCAATCAATAAGTATTTATTAAACCTTTATTCTGTGCTAGGTACACTGTTGAATGTTAGGAATACAAAGAAAAGCAGAAACATTGTTCCCTCCTTCAAGGAACTCACATTCTATTGGGGGAGAGAACATGCAATCAACTAAGTACATACAAGATATATACAGAGTAGACGGAAGGTAATCTCAGAGGAAAGTGAGATGGGAAGGATGGAAACAGAGAAAGGCCGCCCATAGGTGAAACTTGAGCTCAGTCTTGGAGGAATCCAGGAGAGCCAAGAGGTAGAGGTAAGGAAAAAGAGCATTCCAGGCATGGGGGGGGGGGGGGGGGGAATCCAGCCTATATAATGACACAGAGTCAGGAGATTGGAATGTTGTACACAGGGCAAGAAGACCAAGGTAGCCAGATCACAGAGTATATGAAAAGGAGCATAGAACATTTGGGCCAATCTTGGGTACTGGAGGTTGGCATTAACAATGTTATTAACAGATGATGTGGGTCTTTTGTTCTTCAGTTTTCATTTTTAATAATGCCCATTTTGTTAATCAATGTCTTTCTATATACAATGACAACTCATATACTTTCTCTGAACAGACAACTGTCCATTTAAAGAAGGGCTATGAACAGGAATTTTAATTTAATGGGGCATTAGAAATTATGGGGTATATAAAAACGTAGGGATCTTTCTATGTTCACCAGTGTCATTGGCTGGTTCAGCTGTCACTCAGCCTCAGGCCCTCCAGCAGTTGTTTTCATTGGCTCTTAGAATGTGCTGGAGAATTCAATACTGATTGGCTCATCTGGCCAGTGACGGGCAATCCAGAAACACTAAGTCTACACTGGTCTCCCATCTTTGATTCAACACAAGTTCCCAGGTAACAAACAGGTAGCTGTCATAAAAAAGATTTATTTTTTAAAGGAGGAAAAAAAATTGAGCAAAACCAATCAACTAATCAAAAGAATCTGATGACAACAATGCATCTTGCATACTTTTCTTGGATTTTTCTCTCCAAGGCAGATGGCAATTATGTTTTCCCTTGTCACTCACGAAGAGATTTATTTTGTTTTCTCCTATTGTATGTTCTTTTAATTGTAGTGCTCTTGCAGATGTTGCCATGGGGAAAAGAGTTCTGCACATCCCTTACAGAGACTCTGTTCTGACCAGACTCCTCCAGTCAGCCTTGGGTGGGAACAGTAAGACTATTATGGTAAAATAATGTATTTTGTTGAACTATTTTGTCTCTTACTACCCTTTGTCACATTGGTCATATGTGCAATGAAAACAACAGTCTATCAGCTCTAATAGCAAAATCCTTTTATAGAACAAACAATTTTACTTTGTCTCACTCGAAAAGTCATTTCCCATTATCCACTGTCTGGATGTCAAAAATATTGTTTCAGTCCCAAAATTATTAAGTTCTTCTTACGTGTAAGCCATTGTTCTAGGTACTAGAGATGAAAAAACAAAACTGAAGCAATTATTTCTCTCAAGAAGCTTACATCCTATTATATAAAAAGATGTTGCTCCTGTCCTAACATAATTTGTTACCAGAGGTATAAAAAAGAGAAGGGAGTTGAGGCATGAGTTTCTTAGTTGGATCTCTTACTAAATGCAGGTAATGCTGGTCTATTGATGTGGCCAGGAGAGAAAGATAGGTCACTGAAACTAAACATTTGCTCTTTTCCCCAAAAATATCCCAAGATTTAAAAAAAAAGCAAATTGATTATTTATCATTTCATCTGACTTGAATGATTTCCACTCTAAGACTAAACCTTTTATTCATTCTAAAATTCTCTTATTTCTTAGGCAATTTTAAAATTATTTGAAATCAATGTTGCTCTGCATGTTCTAAAATAATACAATGGTCATTCAATTGAAGCTTTTTACATCCAATTACCTTGAATGCATAAGACAAAATGTGAGAAACATAAGACTCTTCTGCCACAAGAGGAATTTAGTCTAAATGTGGGTCTCTTTTTTTAGAAAAGAAATTTCCTGGTCTAAGGTATTCTTCTGTGTTGCTCAAAGTCTCTTGATCTCTGTATTCTATTACTATTGACTATGCAGTTTGGCCTGATAATTTTTTTCTCATTAATTTTACTAAGATCTATGAAATTTTAAGTGATAGCTTCTCTGACTCCCACTACCCAGGTCCATTCCAAAAGTGAAGAGGAGGTAGCCCTGGGATCTAGAAGACCATGCCAATGGAGTATAAGCTGCACCAGGTCTTAGCAAGCTGGAAAAACTTTAAATACAAGTCCAGAGATAGACTCTGTCTGTCATCCAAAGGCCAGTCTAAGTTAAGAAGGCTTATTGCCAAACATTGGCCACCAGCTAGTGAATTTTTCTTTAGCAAAGGTAACTCATGAATCCCAAATGGCTTTATTATCTATAATGTAAGAGAGGGCAGATAGTATGTGTACTCCTGAAATTTCTGATCTTCCCAAGTACTGATTTTTAAAAGTATTTATAAGTTTAAATTGATATTTGAGTTTGTTAAGAATCTCAAGCCATTTATTTGATGCATTTGTGCTCTTGTCAGTGTGAGTACTCATGCCAGTGATACATCTCTCAGCCTATCCATGGTTGCTTATCCTATAATAGTCTTGTCCTATCTTCCTGTAAATACTCTACAGGAAATAGAACCCAGTGTGCTGGAGACCTTCCTCTTATTCTCTTCGCGTTGTATGGATACCAAAGGAGTGCATGGACAATCCACTGGTTTTACTTATTACTTACTACATGACCAGCCTTATCTTTTTTTCCTCCTCAATCAGTCAATCAATAAAATGTAAGTGCCTACTATATTCATAGACTGTACCGAGTTCTGAGGTTACAAAGATAACAACCAAATGGTTCCTGCCCAAAAGCAGCTTACATTCTATCAGGTGAACCGTGTCCACATATAAATATATGCAAAGTAAATACAAGGTAATTTGGACTGGGGAGGCATGGTTGTATTTGATGGGATGAGGAAAGGCCTCATGAAAGGATACTACTCTGAAACTGAGTTTTTAAGGAAAGTAGAGTTTCTCAGAGGCAGAGATAAAGAGGGAGGGAGAGAGAGCATTCCAGATATGGAGGACAGAGTGTGTAAAAGAACAGAAACAGGAGAAGGGCAAAAAGGCCAGTTTGGCTAAATCATAGACAGTATGAAGGGGAGTCATATATAATAAATTGGAAAGATGGGCCGGAGCCAGGCAGTGAGGAATTTAAATGCAAACAAAGAAGTTTTTGTTTTATCCTAAATGTAATAGGGAGTTTATCGAGGAGAAGAGTGATGTGGTCAGATATCACTTTGGTGGTTCTGCTGTGGATGGATTATAGAGGGGAGAGATTTGAGGTGGGTAGACCAAATAGGACTGTTGCTCTTGAGGTAGTCTAGGTGAGAGTTAATGAAGATCTGAATTTGGGCAGTGGCCATAGGAAGGGGACAGATGTAAGAGATCTCGATAGATACCCATCGAGTCTATTCACAAATCATCTCTTAAGGTGAGGAGTTGAGAATGGCTTGGAGGTTGTGAACCTGGATGACTGGAAGAATAGTTATGCCCTCAACAGAAATAGGGAAGTTTAGAGAAGAGGGAGGTCAGAGAAATTCTAGCAGGATTGTAGAAAGGGAGAAGATAATGAGTTGTGTTTTGTTGGACAAATTGAATTTGAGTATTTATGATAGTGCTCTTTGAGTTTCTAAAGGTAGTCATGAAGAAGAGAGATTAGCCTCGATCTGTTCATTCCCAGAAGAGAGAACCTTGAAACTATGGACAGAGTTTTCAGAGGAGCAAGTTTAAGCTTATGTAAAGAAAGATTTTCTCACAATGTACTATTCCAAAATGGAATGGGTTGCTTTAGGATGATTTGATTCTCCCTCACTGGAGATCTTGAAGCAGAGACTGGAAGACCATTTATTCGGAATGTGGTAGAGGGGATTCTTGATCATGGACACCTTAGACTCTGAGATCCTTTCCATCTCTGACATTTGTGACTTGACTCCTCCCTCTCTCCCATGCTCCACATCTAATCTGCGGCCAAGTCTCATCCATTCTACCATCGTAACACCTCCTGGATTCTCTACCTTCTCTCCTCTGATACGGCTACCACCCCAGTAGAGGCCTCATCCCCACATCACCTTACCGCAAGTCTCTCCCCGCTCCAGTCCATCTTCTATTCAGTTGTCAAGTTGATCTTCCTAAAGCTCAGGTCTGACCGTGTCATTCAGCCATCCTCCCTTCAGTAAACTTTAGTAGCTCCCTATTATTTCTAGGATCAAATAGAAAATCCTCTGTTTGGCATTGGAAGCTCTTTGAGTCCTGCTCCCCTCCTGTCTTTCCAGTCTTCTTATACCTTATACCACTACCACCACCACTACCACCACAACCCAGCTGTGATCCAGTGGCACTGGCCTTCATACTCTCCCTCATCTCTCAACTCCAGGTGTTTTCACTGGCTGTTGTGCATACGTGGAATTCTCTCTTCCCTCCTCTCTACCTCCTGGCTTCCTTGGCTTCCATCAAGTTGCAGCTAAAATTCCACCTTCTATAAGAAGCCTTTTCCCAATTCCTCCTTAATGTTAGTGCCTTCCCACTGTTAATTGTCTCCAGTTTATCTTGTATATATCTTGTTTGTACATAGTTGTTTTCATGTTTTCTCTCCTTTAGACCATGAGCTTCTTGAGAGCAGGGTTGTTTTTTACCTTTCTTTTTAGCCCCAGTACTTAGCATAGTGCCTGGCACACAGTAAGTGATTAATAAATGCTTGTTGACTGACTGACTTGATATTACTTTTACTATAATAGCGGGCATATGTATAGCACTTAACGTTTTGCAAAGTGCTTTACAAATATTATCTCATTTGATCCTCACAATAACCCTGTATTGTTGTTATTATTTCCATTTTATGACTGAGGAAACTGAGGCAGGTAGAAATTAAGTGACTCACACAGTCAGTAAATGTCTAAGGCTGGATTTGAATTCAGATCTTCTTTTCCAAGTCCAGCTTTCTAGTCATTGAGTAACCTTGCTGCCTGTTGAATGACTGATTCTGTGATAGAAGTCATAATTGAGTAGAATATGGTGACTGATTCCATTGCAATGGAAATATACAGTGTGAATTTGAGTAATATGACCACTTCAGAGTATTTCTTATTCCCATTAATCCAGACCTAGCTGTAGTAAGTGGCAGAGCTGAAATTTGAACCCATGTCTTCTAAGACTAAATCATGTCCTCCTCCTACAATACCATGTTACCTCTCAGTCTGTAAAATTTTATATTTAGTTCTTATTCAAATCTCTTTCAGTAGCACCTGGTGCAAGGACTCTTTATAAAGTCAATAGATGGAACTGAAAACTTGGTGAATATTATTTACAGATTGCTGCTATAAGTCCTGCTGATATCTGTTATGAAGAAACTTTGTCAACTTTAAGATACGCTGAAAGGTAATTTTGTGAATACTTATTAACTTTAGTGGTTCCAGATTTTTAAATCAGATAGGTTCATGCAATATCACAGCTCCTGAATGAACTTTTTTTTTTCTTTTTAAGGGGAAAAGGTAGGATTATTAGGCTAAAAGGGAGAAGTGGAGCTGAGAAAAAAGAAGCTAAGATAGAGAGAAATCTAGGACCATTCATTCTTTCATCATACTCTGAAAACCTCCATTTGGGAGAAGAAACATATTCTAAATTCTATGGGAGTGTTTGGTTACACCAGTACTAAAAATATTTGATGAGGAACAATTCATTCAGGAGTTGACTATCTTTTGCTGATAGCATATCTGTATTCTTCCTCTGGAATACTAGGGAATAGTAGTGCTGGGAAGGAGAGGAATTGTTATTGAATCTTACAGGAGTGAGAGTGAGAGACATAAACCATTCTGTGAAGGAGCTGGAGAGAGCTGTCTGCCATCTTGGCTATATATGTGATAAATTGTTAAAACAAGAACTTGTTAATAATCTACTGTGGAAATGCTGGCCTCCTAGCATCTTTGGTGTAACCCAATTATCCTCCAGAAGTCATGAAATATTCATTTCTAGCCCTTTCTGTGACTTGTAAACCACATCTTAGAATATACTCTGTGACAGTCTCTAGAATTGTTATTTCTACAAAACAACTTGACACATCCTTGAAAGTTTCACTCTTTGATTCAGCTGAGCAGGCCTAGGTAGCAGCTCACTCATTTACCATTAGAACCCCCTGGCTCATTGATTGGTAAAGAGTGGAATTTATTTTAAATTCAGAGTTTAGAAGTTGAAATTATAGAATACTGGGCCATGTGAAAGAGAAAATAGGTCTAGTTGGATTTTGAAAAGACAATGGGTCAATTTCTAGCTACTGCTTTGCAATCATTATTAAATGCTTTTATAAAAGGATATGGGGTATCTGAATGTGTGTGGTGTTTTGTTGTTTTTTTGTTGTTGTTGTTGTTGTTGTTTGTTTTGTTTTGTTTTGTTGTTGGCCTTGGCTTGAGAAAGAACTAAAAAGATCAAGAATAAAGCTGTGATAAATACAAGCCCCACCGAGAAGTTGATAAAAGAACTGAAGGCAGAAAACAACAGACTGTTGTCTAGGCTTGCTGGACTGGGAAATTCAGGGAAAAGAGTAGCAGATAAAACAAGTAGGTATTATCAACTAAAACCACAGGTCTCTGTCACATAGACTAAGGGAAATAGAGGTGTTAAGTATTGAGAGGATGGTGTCAGAGGTAGGAAACCTGCCTAGCAAGCCCTGTTTGGGATCATTTAAGCAGAGTCATCACCAAAGTTGGATCTGAGAGCTTTGCCCAAGGGAGCAGACATAATGTCCGGTGGAAGGGGCAGCTAGGTGGTGCAGTGGATAGAGCACCGGCCCTGAAATCAGGAGGACCTGAGTTCAAATCCGGCCTCAGAGCAAACACTTGACACTTACTAGCTGTGTGACCCTGGGCAAGTCACTTAACCCCAATTGCCTAAAACAAAAACAAAACATAATGTCCGGTGGAAAAAAAAGAAAAGCAGTGACCCCAAAGTAGACATAGGAACCAATAGCAAGGATTGGAATTGAGCCAACAAACCTTTACTAGACTACCTGCTACATGTGGAGTACCGGGTGTGTGCTGGGCCTGACTCTAGGAAGAGTAACAAGTGAATGGCTGATTTATGGTAGAGAGATGATTCTCTCTCCTCTGCCTGCACCCAATAATTTCATTTGAGATGGCAGAGGATTGTTTTCAGGATGTGCCCCAACTTACTGAACTAATGATACCAGAATATGTTTCAATGACAGCCTTACATCACTATAAGACACAGCCCTGTCCTCATCTGGTAGTAATGTCCGGTGGAGATCTTCACAGATCACACTGGTGAACATATTAACCCTAGGACCTAATCCTTTTCATTTCTATATTCCTGAATTATCCTTCTTAATAGACATCAGCCCACCCTGCTTTTCTTCTTCAGAAATGGCAACATTTTGGACCAGCAGGCAACCTGCTTGTGTTTATTTTGCTTAGCGTACCTCAGGGTGAGTTCAAATCATGAATCATGAAGGAAAACTCACCTGGCAAAGCGTTCTCTCTCAAAGGACAAGTCACTCTGTTCCAACTTTCTTTAAAGAAAACAACTGGAAATCACTTCATAAACAGCGCTAAATAATAAAATAATAATAATAAAATCAATATACACTGGACTCTTTTGGCCATTCTCCATTACACAAAAGGCTCACCAAATGGGTTGGATGTTGAACAGAGAAATGTTGCATTAAAAGTTCTCTTTTTATAGTACTGGTCAGCCCCAATCTGAGTGGGTAAATATGCTACATAAGCAAATATATTGGAGGTATTAAAAAAAAGACAGTTAAATGCTATCATTCATTTACAAGTGAATTGTAATATCTTTCTGGAATAGAATTCTTATATGCATTATATTCTTATATACATATGTGTGTGTGTGTGTGTGTGTGTGTGTGTGTGTACACACAATACATAGGTGTACAATGCTCAATATGCCTTGAAGATTGGGTCAAGGTATTGAGGGGTTATTTTATCCATAGTCATTGATGCTGTACATCTGATCTTTAAAACATCACCTTCCTTCCAGAGGAACTGGAGTATTTACTGGCAAAAAACCAACTGCGCCTTCAGACTATACAGATTACATGGGAACACCAGTTGGAAGAGGCTCGAAAGGAATGGGAAGAACAATATAATGCAATCACGCAGGTGAACTTTCTTCTGATTCCTCAGGGCTTAGAAATTAATTGGACTTACCTCCCACTAGCTTTCATGAAGCTAAAGAGTTTTGTGATATGTTGAGATTTTCTTACTCCCAGACTGGAGCAATCATGGTACAGTTGCTTGCTTTTTTGGTGGCTAATTAAAATTCTTATGGAGTGGGAACAAGCATGATGTGTGCTTAAGAAATCCATGTTTATTGATGGATGGAGGAAGTAAAGCCTAAAGTCTTTGCTCAGTATATACTGAGAAAACACAGGGTAGTGGAAAGAATGGGGCAGCTAGGTGGTGCAGTGGCTGGAGTGCCAGGCCTGGAGTCAGGAGGCACTGAGTTCAAATCTAGCCTCAGACACTTACTAGCTGTGTGACCCTAGGCAAATAATTTAACTTTGTTTGCCTCAGTTTCCTCATCTGTAAAATGAGCTGGAGAAGGAAATGGCAAACCACACCAGTATCTCTGCCAAGAAAACCCCAAATGGGGTCATGAAGAGTCAGACATGACTGTAAATGACTGAACAAGATATAGAAAGGACACTGAAGTTGGGAATCTGAGGTCCTTAGACTGGATTTGCCACAGAGTTATCAGGTAACCTTTTGGTTGTAGGAGGGGGGAAGCCTAGCACAGTTGTTAAGAGTACTGGATTTGGATCCAGAGGACCTGAGTTCAAACACTGCTTCTGCTATTGTGAGACTCTGGGCAGGTGACTTAACTGCTCTAGACTTGCCACCATCTCCACATGGAAATGTGGAGTCAAATTTTCACATGGCTTGGATTAGATAATTTCTAATCTCCCTTTCCTCTCAACATCTATGATCCCAAGTTAGTTCTCCTTTCCTGGACCCAGTTTCCATCTCTGCCAAGGTAGTAGGTTTGACTAATCTCTAAACTATGTGACCCTGGGCAAGTCACTTAATCCTGATTGCCTCTCACAAAAAAAAAAAAAAAGCAATAGAGACCTTAAAAAAACCTCTAATTTCTATAACCTGTTCATCTTGAAAGACAAACCATCAAGGCTGTAGGAAATGCCAAATTGGAGATAAAGGGAAGCAGAAAGGAAGATAGGTGCTTCTGAGGTGACACAAAGCAACCTAACCTTGTATTTAGCCTGTTGGTCATCTAATACCCTTGAAACGAATGAGGGACAAAGAGCTAGCCTATTTCCCAACCCCTGTTTGGTCCGAGGCATCAGCAAAATCCAGTCTAAGGGGACAACTGGAGAAGAGGGAGGAAAATTCTGAGTAAATAAGGAGCCAGAGTAAGCCCGTGGTAAACTTGACTTCAACTCTCCTTCCCAAAATGTTTTCATGTTCTACCCCCTGGGCATGTCTGAAAGCAGCAATAAAGGAAGCAGTAGAGAGGGAAAGGTGAAGATTAGCTAAAAAAGGGCATCATCATTGGAACAGTCTGCTAGAAGAAAGAGGAGATGGGAACAGATTTGATCAAAAGTGCAAGGAGTGGGGCAGCTAGGTGGCGCAGTGGATAGAGCACCGGCCCTGAAGTCAGGAGGACCTGAGTTCAAATGCGGCCTCCGACACTCAACACTCACTAGCTGTGTGACACTGGGCGAGTCACTTAACCCAATTGCCTAAAAAAAAAAAAAAGTGCAAGGAGAAGGATCAGAGACAGAATCTGGAGGAAAGAAGGAGAGAATCAGGGACAATGTCAAGACATACTAAGGTATAAAATAAGGGATAAGACAGAGCTCTTGGCAAAAGGATTCTATTTTCAAGGTGATGCAGAGATTGAAGAGTGTGCTGTCAGAGGCTGGAGGAGAAGAGGGATGCGGGGTGATATGAGATGAGGCTAGAAAGGTAGGTTGGAAGGAGATTATGGAGAACCTTGAATCCCAGACTGGAGAGTTTGTATTTTATCGTAGAGGCAATAAAAGCTCCCTATCTTGTCATAAAAAGATTATGTGAAGAAGTCCAGATTATCACTTATCACTGTCCAATTTAATGGATTTCCATATGCCAGCCTACAACCAAACAGTGTCCACTCCTGATTGTCTGGAGCAGATAATGTCTTGGAATAACCCTAACTGGGTGGTTCCAGTGATAAAAGCTTCACATTGGTGGAGTCTGAATTTTTATCACAGTCGAAGGAAAAACTATAATTACTGAGCATAATGCTAAGTTTCCTTATCCAAAGGGACCACGATTTTTTTTTAAACTTTTTTCCCCTTTCTCTGTCTTCTGGATTTGGTTAAGATGTAGTGTTGTCCTATGTTCTCTAAGGTCAATAAGTAGTATCACTTTCAGGGGAAGTATATGGAAAAGGAAGCCTGATTCTGATATGTTCTTGATGGCACTACTAACCCTGGCTTCCTTTCTAGGAACGGCAAATGACAAAGGCTTTCCCTTATCTCTTCAATGTCAATGAGGACCCACAACTCACAGGAGTTCTTAAGCACTTCATTCAAGCTGGTATTCAACTTACTTTATATTTTTCTTATGGTACTCAATGTTCTTCACTCCTGCAGCTATTAATAATAACTATATTATTTCACCTAATTGTTAGCTAAATTTCACTTCATTTCTCTATATTACCTTACCCAAATCCTTGTTGTTGGCATCTGCAGGACTTGGGGTCATTTGTCCTCTTTTCTTTCTTTTTTGAAGTTTTATTGGTGTGCCTTGTTTTAATATTACGTTCATTTATAGCTTACCCCCACCATGAGTAGTCTCTTATAAAACAATTAAGTAAAACTAGTAATACAGTGGCCTCATCTTGAAATGCATGCAACATTCCACTTCTGTAGCGTTCCCCTTCCTTTCTATTTTTTTTAATTAACAGAATTGTTTCTCCTTCCCCCCATCCTATTGAAAAAAAATTTTCTTGTAACAAATATGTATAGTCAAGCAAAATAAATTTCCCCAACCTCAATGGCTGTAACCAAACATACACACATACATACACACGTGTGTATATATACAAGTATATGTATGTATATATACATATAAGCATATGTATGTATGTATATATGTATACATATATGTCTCACTCTACGCCTTATATCCATCACTGCTCTGTCACGGATAGCATTTTTCATCATTAGTGCTCTGGAATCATGAATGTATTAATCACAGTTGTCACACCTCTCAAAGTTGCTAGTTTTACAGTGTTGTGGTACAAATTATTCTCCTGGTTCTGTTCATTTCATTCTTCATCTGTGAGTTTAATAGTTGACTTACGGTCTTCCTCTCCACCACAACCCTCCCCATCATGTTTAGTACATGAGGTGTAGAGATGGAATATCAATTTTGAGCAGGATACGTTGTGACTGAAACATAGAGTATGTGAAAGAGAACAATGAGAAATAATGGAAAAGTGAGCTGGAACCAACTTGTGGAAGGTCTGAAGTACCAGGATTATGCCTATATTCATTTTACACCATTGCCAAAATAATCTTTCCATGACACAGGTCTCACCCACTTAAAAACCTTAGGTGTTTTCTTATTGCCTGTAGGATAAAATACAAACTTATGGAATTATGGTGATTCTGGGTAGGGCTAGAGTTCAGGAGATTGGAATTAGATATATAGATTTGGGAGTTATCTGACAAAAGATGCTAAGAAGAAGTTTAGAAAGAGAATGGAAGAAGGCCCAGGATAGGAGTTTGACTAACACCCATGCTTAGGGACAAGGAAAATGGTGATGAATCAGCAAAGGAAAGTGAAAGGGAGTTGTTGTACAGGTAAGAGGAGAACCAAGAGGAGAAATGGAGCCAAGGGAAGAGGATATCCAGGAGGAATGGGTGGTCAACAGTGTGAAGAGCTAAAAAAAAGGATCATGAAGGAAAAAACAAATCACTGAATTTGAGAGCTCCATTGAATTTATGAGATGTTTGGTAATCTTGAAGAGAACAACTGGTGAAGTGGTATGTTCTGAAGCTTGATTATTAGTGGGTGATGGAGAAGTATAGGAAGTAAGTGGGCAGCTCTTTCTAGGGACTTAGCAATGGTATGAAGGAGGAAAAGGATAATAGCTTGGGTCTGTAGCTGAATTAAGTCAAAGATTTTTAAGAATAGAAGAGACTTAGACATGTTTGTAGGCAATAGGGAAGAAACCAGTAGAAAAGGAGAGATTGGAGGGAATGATTAAGAGGACAGGCTTTCAGAAAAGATGGGAGGAAAATAAGAACAAGGACAGAAGTAGAAATTTTGACCTTGGCCTTCACAAGTAGAAAGACCATTTCTTTCTCAGTATAGAGCAAAGTAGGGAGAATGAGTCATTATTTAAAAGAGTTTTGAGGTATGATGTCAGGAAGATGAAAAAGCTGAGGACAGATAGCCTTGATTTCCTCGGTGAAGTAGTTGTATGAGATTGACTATTTTCTTGGAGAGAGGGGAGAATAAGTGTGGCCTTGGGGTATGAGGAGATCCCATCATTTTCGAGCATCATTTTCCAGAAGAATACTTACCCTCTCTTCCATCATTCCTTATCTCCTCACTATTTCTCTGCTGCCTTCTATACATGTGCCAATATCTCACCCCTCCTAAAAAGTACTCACTTAATCTAATCATTATCACTAAATGTCATCCTATATTTCTCCTACCCTTCTCAGGTAAATTTGAGAAAGCTACCTATACTAGATGCCTCCACTTCATCTTTTCTCACTTGCTTCTAAACTCTTGGCATCTGGCTTAAGACCTCATCATTCAGCTGAAACTGTTCACCACAAAACAGCCAATGATCTCTGTTCTTTTTTTTTTTTTTTTTTTTTTTTTGGTGAGGCAATTGGGGTTAAGTGACTTGCCCAGAGTCACACAGCTAGTGAGTGTTATGTGTCTGAAGTTGGATTTGAACTCAGGTCCTCCTGACTTCAAAGCCAATGATCTATCCACTGAGCCATCTAGCTGCCCCATCTCTGTTCTTAAATTATTTTTCAGTTGACAAAAAACTATTTACTCATCCTTCCACCTCCCCACCTAGTTAAAAAAAATCAATAGTCCAGGAAGATAAATTCCCACATTGGCCATGTCCAAAAAACTTATGTTTCAATCTGCACCCTAATACAATTACCTCTTTGTCAGTTTAAAAAAGGAAAAGACAAAGAAATGTTGATTATGTCCAATTTATCTTGTATATATCTTTATATAGTATATACTTGTTTGAATGGTGTCACCCCTTTTTGACTGTGAGCTCCTTGGGAGCCAGAATTGTCTTTTTTGTATCTCAGCACTTAGAACAGGGCCTGAAACATAGTAGGTGCTAAATAAATGTTGGATGACTGACTAAAGTCAATCAGTTGGAAAAGCTGAGTATATAATATACAGAAGCAAACAAGTATAATAGTTTTTGATAAACCCAATGATTCTAGCAGGTAGGATATGAACTTACTATTCAACAATAAATGCTAGAAAAACCAGAAAGCAATCTGGCAGAAACTAGGTATAGACCAACAGTTCACACCATATCACATCATACTCTGAGATAAGCTCCAAATGACTGTGATTAAGAAAAATAAAAATCATCAGTAAAACTTTTTAAAAGATAAAAAATAGCCAGGCACAAGGGCATATGCTAGGGAGTCCCAGATGCTGCTGGATCACTTGAGTTCAAGAGTCATAAGGCATAGTACACCTAAACCTGATCAGGTATCCACACTGGCACCAATATGATGAGCCCCCTGGAGCAGAGAAACACCAGGTTACCCAAGGAGGGCCCCAGATTAAAGCTTCCATATTGATGGGTATCAGGACCTGGCTTTAAGTGGCTGCTATATTCCTCACCTGAGTGAGATAGGTAGACCTAGTCTAAAAACAATAACAACAACAACAACAAACCCTAAAAAAAAAAATCTAAAAACCAAAAAAGTAGGTAGAAAAAAAAAAGCCTTGCCATAAGCCATTTGGGTTTTCTTTTTACTTTTGAAAAATGTTATTGATAAACTTTGTTTCTACAATGTGCATAATCACTTTTGATTCCCTCACAATTTACACCTTGAAAACAGCACCATAAAAAGTCATGGAGATATACAACCTTATGCCTTAGCAGTTCCGTTGTTGTCAAAATAAAGGATTGCTGCTGCTGCTGCTGCTGCTGTTGTTTTGTCCTTCCTTCTGGAAGAGAACCATGACATCAGCGAAGTGATGCCTGGACATGCAAGTGAAATGGATTTAAGTGAGAGAGGACTGTGCAAAGTGACCAGCCTCACTTTCTCCTTCAAGCCATCTGGGTCCAGTGGCCAGATATGGATCAGGATGACTAGAGATAGGTGTTGTTTTATGATAACAAAACAAGCTTCTCATTCTTTTTAAATACCATTATTTACTTCAGTATTGTTGCCATCTCAAAAGTATCTTTTTTCACACAGTTGTGCTAATATATTCTTTTGGTTCTGCTTTGTTCCCTATCATTTTTAAAATGGGATGTTTTCATATTTTCAGGTTCATCTGATGTTGGTCAAGCAGCTTCAAATAAAATTATCCTTCAAGGATTGGGGTAAGTTTCTATGAATCTACACCTTTATTCAGTATCAGAGTTATTAATTCCTCAGCCTAAATGGGGGCTCTGAGAAGTTATCTTGTCTATCTCTCTGCCCCCAAGCAAGGTCCCACCCAACTCTTTCTGGACAATTGCAAAGAAGGAGATTGTATGCCCTTTCCTAATGACCCCTTCCAATTCTTACCAACCCAAACTACCAGGAAGTTGTTCCTTTTCTCTAACAGAAATTCACCCTGAGGGGGCATAGCAGAGTGAAAGCAATGACTTGCTTGAGCTCTCCCCCCAAGCCCCTCCAAATACCTGTAGAAAACAGCTCTAAACAAATTCTAAAGCAGCAGAACCCACAAAAAGACAAAGTGAAACAAATTAGCAGTCCAAAACAACCTGGATGATTGATCAAAAAGGTATATCTCGCAGGGCTGGGAGAGAAGCACAGTTCAGCGTGGGCGCGCAGGCCACAGCGATCCTGAAGCAGGCCTCAGAGGACTGCATCACAGGTAGCTGTGATGGTTACTAGACTTCTCAATCCACAAATGCCAGAGACAACTTAGAAGGTCAGTGGGAAAAGTCTGTTTCTACGGTGGAAGGAGAGGAGTGCAGGGTCTCAGCCCCATTCCTTGGGGCGGCGGCTGCTTCCTTAGCTTCTGGCCCAGAGACTGAGGGGGAATCTAGTGGCTGATCAGAGGGGGATTGCAGGGATCTCTGTGCCAGTGCTGAGGCAGGAATCTCTTGCTTTGCCCAGGCTTGGATCTGGGTCACAGTTCTGAGGGGTGGTCCTGGGACGAGGAGGAGCAGCGCTGGTGTGGTGGAGCTTGTACTGGTGGTGGAGAGGAAATCCTCCTCACAGTTCCAAGACAGAAAACAGGGCTTGTGGTCACTCATAGACCAGAGCACAGGCCAGGAAAGAAGTAAACACATCACCCTTGATCATAAAACCTTGGAAGAACTGAAAATTTACAGGTCCCTAGAAGTATCTCTGAAAACAGCTGCACAAAACCCCCAAAGCTTGGGACAGTACATTCTCCACACTGGAAACAGACCCCCACCTTAAAGAGTTTATAACTCAAGTAATTGGCTGGGATCATGAGCAAGCAGCGCAAAAAAAGTCAGACTATATTATCTTACTTTGGTGACAAAGAAGATCAAAACATACAACCAGAAGAAGACAATAAAGCCAAAGCTCCTACATCCAAACCCTCCAAGAAAAATATGAATCAGTCCCAGGCCTTGGAAGAGCTCAAAAGGGATTTTGAGAAGCAAGTAAGAGAAGTAGAGGAAAAACTGAAAGTGATGCTAAAGGAGACTCAAAAAAATACTGAAGAAAATAACACCTTAAAAAATAACCTAACCCAAATGGCAAAAGAGGTTCAAAAAGCCAATGAGGAGAGGAATGCCCTAAAAAGCAAAATTGGCCAAATGGAAAAGGAAATCCAAAAGCTTACTGAAGAAAATACTTCCTTAAAAAGTAGAATAGAGCAATTGGAAGCTAGTGACTTTGTGAGAAATCAAGACACTGTAAAACAAATCCAAAAGAATGAAAAATTAGAAAACAACATGAAATATCTCATTGGAAAAACAACTGACTTGGAAAATAGATCCAGGAGAGATATTTTAAAAATTATTAGACTACCTGAAAATCAAAAAAAGACCCTAGACATCATTCTTCAAGAAATTATCAAGGAAAACTACCCTGATATTTTAGAACCAGAGGGCAAAACAGAAATTGAAAGAATCCACCAATCACCTCCTGAAAGAGATCCCCAAAGGAAAACTCTGAGGAATATTGTAGCCAAATTCCAGAGTTCCCAAGTCAAAGAGAAAATATTACAAGCAACCAGAAAGAAACAATTCAAGTACTGTGGAAACACAATCAGGATAACACAAGATTTAGCAGCTTCTACATTAAGGGACCACAGGGCATAATATTCCAGAGGGCAAAGGAGATAGGATTACAACCAAGAATCACCTACCCAGCAAAACTGAGTATAATCCTTCAGGGGAAAAAAATGGTCATTCAGTGAAACAGAGGACTTTCAAGCATTCTTGATGAAAAGACCAGAGCTGAATAGAAAATTTGACTTTCAAATACAAGACTCAAGTGGAACATGAAGAGGTAAACAGGAAAGAGAAATCAAAAGAGACTTATTAACGTTGAACTATTTACGTTCCTGCATGAAAAGACAATATTTGTAACTCATGAGTCCTTTGTCAGTATTAGGGTAGTTGGAGGGAAAAAATTATATATATGTATATAGATAGATAGATAGATACATACATACATACATAGAGGGCACAAGGTGAGTTGAAGATGAAGGGGTCATATCTGGAGAACAAAATTAAGGGGTGAGAGGATTATACTGGGAGAAAGAGAAAAGGAGAGGTAGAATGGGGTAATTTATCTCACAAAAAAAAAACAAAAGAAAAAGCTCTTACAGTGGAGGGGAAAGAGGGGAAGGTGAGAGGGAATGAGTGAATCTTATTCTCATAGGATTTGGCTTAAGGAGGGAATAACATACACACTCAATTGGGTATGGAAATATGTCTTACCCTACAGGAAAATAGTGGGAGAAGGGGACAAGAGAACAGGGGAATGTTAGAGAGGAGGGCAGATTGGGAAAGGGGGTAATCAGAAGCAAACACTTCTGAGGAGGGATAGGGTCAAAAGAAAGAATAGAATAAATGGGGGAGGCGGGATAGGATAAAGGGAAATAGAGTTAGTTTTTCACAGCATGTCTACTATGGAAGTGTTTTGCATAACTGCACATATATAACCTATATTTAGTTGCTTGCCTTTTCAATGAGGGTGGGTGCAGAGGGAGGAAGGGAGAAAATTTGGAACCCAAAGTTTTAAAAACACATGTTTAAAAAAATGTTTTCACAGGCAACTGGGAAATAAGAAATACGGGAAATGTGGTACAGAAATCTATCCTGCCCTTCAGAAAAATAGAAGGGGAAGGGGATAAGAGAAGGGGGGGAAAGATAGAAGGGAGGGCAGACTAGGGGAAGGGGTATTCAGAATGCATGCCATCTTGGGGTGGGGGGAGGGGCGAAATAGGGTGAAAATTTGGAACTCAAAATCTTGTGGAAGTAAATGTTGAGAACTAAAAATAAATAAATTTAAAAATTTAAAATTAAAAAAAGAGAAAAAAATAAATGTACATTAAAAAAAAAGAAATCCACCCTGATGGAATTTATCTGTCTTCTATGAAGATGGAAAAAGCTAGTCACCATCCCCTGTATTGCAGAATTTCATATACACATACATGCACACACACAAACACACACATATTCTCCATAAAAGTCCTCAGAGATTTCATTGTGGAAGTAACTTAGATTCTCAATGGTTATGCCAGTACAGTTGGTATTCACCATTCCTATCCAGCTAAAAAGACTTTGAAATACTGACTCTGAGAAAGACTAAATTTTATATACAATAGAAATATCAAAGCAAGGAGAGGCAATGTAGCCCAGTAGAGAACTAACTTTGAAGCCAGTAAGACCTAGGTTTATGGCCCTGGGCAATCATTGAACCTCTCAGTTGTCTGAGAGGCTAAATAGCAAAGAAGGGGCAAACCTACATCAGTAGAAATAATTTCCTCATATGGGAGTTCCCTGGACCACTGAAATCACGGGTCTGCTTCCCGTTTCTCTCCCCTTTTTTTGGGGGGGGGTGAGGCAATTGAGGTTAAGTGACTTGCCCAGGGTCACACAGCTAGTGTCAAGTGTCTGAGGTCAGATTTGAACTCAGGTCCTCCTGACTTCAGGACTGGTGCTCTATCCACTGCTACACCTAGCTGCCCCCCTCCCTTTTCTTAAGACTGAAAAACCTCTACTCCCATAACTAGTATCTGTTTATATCAGATCCTTCCACTTTATAATATGCACCATTCTTCTATGTGTGCAAGTGTTAATCTTTACCCTCAGGGATCACAGAATAAAATACATTGTAGGCAAGTAGGTGACACAATGGATGGAGAGTTGGCCCTGAAGTCAGAAAGATCTGAGTTCAAATTTGGTCTCAGACACTTTCTAGCTGTGTGATCCTGGGCAAGTAACTTACCTCTCAATCTGCCTCAGTTTCCTCATCAGTAAAATAAGGTTAATAATAGTACCTACCTCCCACAGTTGTGAGGATAAAATGAAGTGATCTTTGTAAAGTGCTTTTGCAAACCTTAAATGCTAGCTGTTGTTATTGTTCCATCCTCATTTGACCTTCCTCCTAACATGTAGGCTTTTTTTTTTTGCTCCGAGGAATGGAAAAGAAAGACACTCTTTCTTATGTTTTTAATGATAACTTATTAGTGACCCATAAATCTTCTTCTGTCCTTGCAGAATTTCTGATAAACATGCCACATTCACCAACGTGGATGGAGAAGTGACCGTGAGGCCTCAGAACAAGTGCAGAGTTCTTGTCAACGGTGTGCCAACAGTTACAAAGACAAAGCTACAGCATTTGGTAACCTAGCTATCTGCGGATAAGTAAATAAATGAACAAACGGGCAGGTAGATAGATGAATAAAGAAATGAATGGAGAGATAATAGACAGATGAATAAATAAATGAGGAAATTAGACAAATAAACCTAAATATATAAGGTTCCAGGTTAACATGTCTTCTGTCCCCAAAAGAGAGGTGCTGTGTAAGAGCAGGAGCAGCTTCAAGGTCTGCTAAGCACTTTACAAATGATATCTCATTTTATCTACCCTGGGAGGTAGAACTCCATTTTACAGATGAGAAAACTGAGGCTGAGGGAAGTTAAGTAACTTGCCAGGGTCACCCAGCTAATAAGTGTCTGAGGCTGGGTTTGAACTCAAGCTCCAAGTTCAGTACTCTATCCATTATGCCACCTAGTTTCCTGGCATACATGACTACATCTCTCTGGTATTTCTACTTTAGATATGTTATCTTTTAGGTATACTTTTAGTCTTATTATTTAGGTATATTGTTTTTAGGTAGATCATATTATATTTGCTTCTTAGACCCTTTAAGGTGGATGGTGATGTAAGCTGTGTTTCAAAGATGAAGAACTGAAGGCCAGGGAGATGAAGTGACCCAGTTATATGTGACACCAGCTTCATTTTATCTCCTACAGAATCTAGAAATTGTTATTGTCTCTTTAAGAGAACTTGGATCTTGACCAGTTACAGTTTAACTGTCCTTCTTGGAGGAATTTGTGGGAGACCAGAAGTTTTAACTATTGTTTTAGAGTAGTTCTTAACTTTTTTTGTGTTGTGGACCCCTTTGGCAGTCTGGTGACACACATGGACCCCTTCAGAATAATGTGTTTAGATACATAAAATAAAATGCATAGGATTTCAAAGGAATCCAATTATACTGAAAAACAATTTCAATAAATGTTTCAGAGCATGAAAAAAATATTCATTGACCCTCATGAAATCTATCCACTGGTCATTTAGGGGTCCACAGATCCTTTGTTCTAGAGAGACTAGAAACCCTTGTTCTAGAGAGACCAGAAACCCTTGTTCTAGAGAGACCATTAGAGATGATGCCTGATAAGAGAGGATTAAGTTTCACCCTTATATTATGAATAAATAAGAAAAGCATGCTTGAGAAACTTGGGGTGCTATCTAGAGACACTGAATGATGAGACTGTGTCTCAGAAATAAGAAGTCAAAATGTTATAGTTTGAGGTAACTCCAACTGTGACCTTTCTCACAGACAAAATGTAAAGAATTATGTTTTGTGTTGTTATTGCTTACATTATTAATGAATTGTATAGCTAGCAACTTTGATATTTGTTTAAGCCTAATTAATAGATTAAATTTTTGATATGTAGTGAAAAATAAAAATGAGAAACTCCTTCTGAGAAAAGAAGTTTCTCCAGTTTGTTAAATATTTAATAACCCAGACTGGGGGCTCCAAGCTAATTGTTTAAATAAAATACATGTTATCATTTTAGTCCCTACTTAGGAAATATCCAAATACACCCTTCTATAACCATAGAACTTGAGAATGATGAGAATGAAAATAGTAGCAAGTCAACGAGCTGGTTGAGGAGTGATGACCATCTCTTGTAGGGTTCATATACAACTAGTAAGTGACAGAGTTGGGACTCAAACTTAAATTTTCTTGACCCTGAGTCAAGTCTTGAGGCTTTCTATCATTCTGACTTACAGGGGTTTCATTTTGTAAAAGTATTTTAACGTATTGATTGATCTTGGAGTGTTTAGCAAAGGAAGACCTTAACCACATAAGAATTAATTTTATTCTTTTGAGATGTACATCATGAATTTTATAGGGAATTGTTTAAGTGGGGTGTGAGGATTGCTTGCAATCTAAGGGGAGGGAGGGGATAGAGGAAGAGATAGAATTTAGAACTCAAAACTTAAAAAAACCCAAATGTTAAGAATTGTTTTAACATGTAATTGGGGAAAATAAATTTTTTTTTTTGCTTTTGGGTGAGGCCATTGGGGTTAAGTGACTTGCCCAGGGTCACATAGCTAGTAAGTGTCAAATGTCTGAGTTAAAATATTATTTTTTAAAAAGTGGGGTGTGAGGTGCCAGTAGTAGGGTCATTCTTATTTGTAGACCTGATGTAAATGAGGAGGTCTTAGTCTTTCCCTCATCTCTACTCTTCAGGTGATCTTGGATAAGGTCAGGTCCCAGCTAAGCTTCATTTTCCTTAGCTGTAATGTAAGAATTGGCACATAGTAGGCACTTTATTTACTTAGTGACTTACTGCTTATTGACTGACTCATTCCTCTATTGGTTATTCAGTCAATAAGTGTTTATTGAGCACCAACTATGTGCCTAAGCACTGGGGAGACAAAAAGAGGCAAAAGACAGTCTCTGCCCTTAAGGAGCTCATGGTCTAATAGAGGAGACAGCAAGCAAAGAAATATGTATTAAACATATATAGGAAACATAAATAGGAAATAATTAACAAAGGGAAGACATTAGAATTGAGAAAGATTGGGAAAGGCTTCCTGTAGAAGATGGGATTTTAGTTGGGACTTGAAGGAAGCCAGGGAAACCAGGACATGAAGATGAGGAGGGAGAGCATTTTAAGGATGGAGCAGTGAGAGAAAATTCCCAGAGCCACAAAATGGAGTGTGTTGTTCATGGAACAGCAAGGAAGCCAGCATCACTGGATCAAAGAGTACATGGCAGGCAGGAGGGTGTAAGAAGACTGAAAAGGTAGGAGGGCATTCAGTTATGAAGGGCTTTGAATACCAAGCAGAGGGTTTTGTATTCAATTCTGGAGGCAAGAGGAAGCTGCTGGAGTTTACTGAATAGTGGGTAATGTGGTCAGTCCTTTGCGTTAGGAAAATTACCTTGGTGGCAGAACAGAGGATGGATTGGAGTGGGGGAAGATTTGAGGCAGGCAGACCCACCAAAAAGGCTACTGCAGTAGTCCAGGTGTTAGGTGATAAGGGCTGTACCAGGATGGGGTCAGTGTAAGAGGAGAAAAGGGGGCAAAGAAAAGAGATACTGCAAAGGTGAAATCAACAGGCCCTGGCAACAACTTGGACATGGGGGTGGGGGGGGAGATAGAAAGGAATCCAGGATGACTCCTGTGTTGTGAACCTGAGGGACTGTGAGGATGGTCTTGCCCTCTACAGTAATAGGGAAGGTAAGAGGGAAGGGTGGTTTAGGGCAAAAGGCAATGAGTTTGGTTTTTGGACACATTGAGTTTCAGATGTTTACTAGACATTCAGTTCAAGATGTCTGAAACACAGTTGGAGATGTGAGAATGGAGGCCAGCAGAGTAGTGTAGGCAGGTGTGAGTATTATCAGCATAGAGATGGTCATTAAATCCGTGGAAGATGAAGACATCACCACGTGAAGCAAGAGAAGGGGGTCCAGAAGAGAATCCTGGGGGACATCTCTGATTAGAAGGCATGATCTGGAGGAGGATCCAGCAAAGGAGACAGCAGGAGCAGTCAGACAGGTAGGAGGAGAACCAGAGGGTGGTGTCGCAAAAACCCAGAGAGAAGAGAGTACGAAGGAGGAGAGGGTGATCAACAGTGTCAAAGGCTACAGAGAGATCAAGGAGAATGAGGACTGAGAAAAGGCCATTAGAGATCTGGTGACTAAGAAATCCTTAGTAACTTTGGAGAGAGCAGTTTCAGTGGAATGATAAGGTCGAAAACTAGATTGTAATGGGTTAAGAGAAATAAAAAGAGACACAACGATGTAATAGAAAGAGCCTTGAAAGAGGACTTGAGTTCTAGCTCTGCATTTCCTATCACCTGCTTCTCCATGTATCACTTCATCTCTCTGGGAGTTGGATTAGATGCTCTTGAAATTCCTTCCAACTCAAAAGTTTGGTGGTGCGTCAGATCCAAGATGGGACTTCTTTGAAGGTAGTGTGGGGGCAGGGGGAGATTCTAAAAAGTGCTTTGTAAAACTTGGAAGTGCTGTGCAAATGCAAGTTATTATTTTTACAAGCACAGATTCTTCTGGGATTAAGTGGCACATTCTTATAAAGGGGTGACCTGACCTACTTATTATCTTTAGTCATATTATTATCGTCCTCTTAGTTTGTGAGAAGTTTGTTCTTATTCTCCTATATAACGCTGACATTCAAGTATATCTGACACAGGACTTCCTGATCTTCATGGTTCTAGTGCTGGCTCTCTATCCATTATACCACCCTGCCTCTCTTCCACACTTACTGTGTGACCCTGGATAAATCACTTAATGTTTCAGTGCTCTAGTCAATTCTCTAAGACTATAAATTACAGGGAAGGTGCCAGCTTACATCAGTGGAGGGTGTTTCCCCATCTGGGAGTTTCCTATATCAATAAAATCAGGACTTCCATCCCTACTCCTATGCTGTGGACTCATACCCTGCTCCCAGCCTGTGGCAGATGACAATTCCTTCTCAAAACAGTGATATTTAGTATCAGAAGGAATGTTGGGATCCTTAAATCCACTGTCTTTTCCTTAGGACCGAGTAATTTTGGGATCCAACAGTGCCTACCTCTACGTTGGATTTCCTTCTGAACGTAGCAATGACGACTTGGCCAGGTTTGATTATGACTTTTTTCAGTCCGAACTTGCAGCAGCAGAGGGAGTAAGTGTGGATAAGCTTGGTAAGCATAGCCTGTGTGTCTTATTTCTGATGTTTCCTGTGTGCTGACCTGTGTTACAAATATCTGTATCTCATCTCCAACAATTGTCCCCTCCATTGTGTGTCTCTTCTAGAATGGAGGAAGATTTGCACACCATACATAGGCTCTTTAGATTTTGTGGTGTTTATGAGCTTAGATGGGGGAAAAATTACACCTTTACTTTCACTTACTTTTAGTTTCTTTGTAATCCTATGTATTATATTTTATGCATTAAAAAATACGATTCTCGGGGCAGCTATGTGGCAAAGTGGATAGAGCACTGGCCCTAAAGTCAGGAGGACCTGAGTTCAAATCTGGCCTCAGATCAAACACGTGACAGTTACTAGCTGTGTGACTCTGGGCAAGTCACTTAACCCCAACTGCCTAAAAAAAAAACCAAAAACAAACAAAAAAAAAGATGATTCTCTCTGAGAAATGCTCCATAGCCCTGATGTAGTCCAAACTCTCTTTTTATAGATGAGGAAACTGAGGCCCTGAAAAATTAAGTGAGGTGTCTAAGGACACCAGGATTTGAACATGTATTTTCACTTCAAATCCAGAACTTTTTATATTACGTTGTAGGCTGCCTCTCCTTCATAAAAGAAGATAAACATTAAGTTTGCCTGGTAAAATGGTGCTACCCATGGTCATGAATAATAGAGATAACATGCTTATCAGATAAAGAATATTCATAAGTCATTCAAAATAATTTCTCCCTCCTACCTTCAAATGCTTTTCTTTGGCAAAATAATCTGATTTATCTTTGCTTCTCTCTGGGCCTTCTCCTGGGGTAATGAATAACAGAGTGGACACATGCTTTATATTCCACATCAACTATGCTACTTGTCAATCCATGAACTCAGCATTCCATCTTCCACAGGTCATGCCTTTCCTGCCATGACCTCCCTTCTGACCTCTAGGACTCAGCTCAGGTATCATCTCCACTACAGGAAGCCTTTGATGATCCCCCTTTGCCATGCTCTCTCTGTCTTAGACTTGTCTTATATTTACTTCTCTGTTTACATATAATGCCCCTCATCAGAATGTAAACTTTTGAGGGCAGGGATGTTTTTTTGGCCTTATATATTGAGGAGCTGCTATTTTCATTAAAACCGAGGAAGTATATGGTATCTTGATCAGAAAAAACAGTAGACTCCTTGAACACAGGACCAGTACTTTAGGCATCTTTGTCTCTCAGAGAGTATTTAGCAGAGAGTCTTTTACTTGGCAGGTACTCTTGGTATACATGAATGAATGAATGAATGAAAAAGTCTTTTGAACTCTGATACTTGCTAAATGAAAGTTCATTGATTTCTGGGAGCCAAGATGGTGGAGTAAGCAGTAAATCACTGTAACACTCCCATATTCACCTCCAAACAACCATAACATGGTGCCCCAAAACAAATCCTGGAACAGCAGAACCAAGAAAAAGTCAGATGAAACAATCTTTGAGTCCAAGAAACTTGGAAGATTGGAAGGAAAAGTGTGTCTCACTCAAGTAAAAGAGGAACTCAGTCTAAGACAGGACATGTCCCAGCAAGCCAGCAGCAAGCTGGTGGAGTAGGAAAATGCCAACACCAGGATCCCCCACCTGCCTCAGCATAGCCAGTGGAACTGGAAGACTAGCTCTTGAGAACTGCCATGCTCCAGTGGCCAGACCTTCATGTGCTTCAGTGTAGCCCCAGGCAAACAGGTAGATGCCAACCGTATAGGTGCCAAATACCTCTCTTCATCTCTTTCCTACTCCTTTCCTTGTGGGCAGATGGGCTGATCCATGCAGCCCTGAAGTCTGATAAGATCCTCGATCTGACTGTGGCCTATGACTGGTTTCTCTTTGGACACATGTTGGTAGTTTCGACTCAGCGAAGGAGAGATTTTCTTCTTCTGATTCAGTTTTTTGAAGCACATCATCTCTGAGGAGTTCTCTGCTCTGAAGTCACAGAGAAGGAAGAGCCTTCCAGCCAGGGACACGAGCTTTCCCTTTGTATCCTGAAAAGGAGGGATTGGGTATAGTACAATCCGCCTAAGTACGACTTCTCCCTCATCACTGAGAGTTCCCTAGGAGCAACTGGGAGCTTCCCCTATGAACAGGAGCACAGACACAGGCAGCTTGGAGGAAAAGTCATACATCTTCTCCCCAGACTGTACCCTAGAACTTGGCAGCCCACACTGTGGGCTGTCTCTGAAAAAACTGCAAACTTCTGACTGTGACCACTACCCTCCATCTCCTTTTTTGGTCTTCCTTAGCCCTGTCTGTAAAGCCATCCTGCCCCCCACCCCCACCCCAACACACACCTCCAGTTTTCTCCAGTCTCTGCATGGCTGATCCCTTTACCATTGGAAAATACAGTGCTCTGAGAAGCCCTGTTGAGGCAGCATTTCTAGGAGGAGTCCCTTGCCTAAGCAAACAGGCAGCTACCATCACTGGGCCCCTGCCATGTGCTTCAGCATAGCCCTGGGCAAACAGGCAGCCTCCAGAGGCCAGACCACCCAGTGCTTCAGTGTGTCCCTAGGGAAATGCAGAAACACCCCATCAGCCTCAACACATGCCAGACATGAGCACTAGAACCCCAGCTCAGCACCAGGTAAGCTGCCAGACCCCTACAGCCTCCAGCAGTGCCAGCTACCCCACCCCCTCAGTACAGCACCAGATACAAGGGTCCCCATGGGCTTCAGAGCAACAGTGCAGCACCAGGGAAACAGCCAGGGCCTGCAGCCTCTGGCACAAGAAGCCTGAGACGGTGCCAATTCTACCCCAAGAGCAGAGCTCAAATTTAAAAGAAAGGGAAAAGGCCCAAAAACATGAGCAAGAAACAACAAAAAATAATATGACCACAGAAAGTTATTATGGTGACAGCTAAGATCAAGACACAAACTCACAAGAGGGCAACAATGTCAAAACACCTATGGGCAAAACTCCAAAGAAAAATGGAAGTGGTCTCAAGCCCAGAAAGAACTCATGGAAGTGCTCAAAAAGGAACTTAGAGGTAGAAGGAAAGTTGGGAAAAGAAATGAGAGTGATTCATAATTTTATAATTCTCTAATGAAAAAAGAGTCAACAGCTTGGAAAAAGAAAACAAATGTTTAAATGGAAAAGGAGATACAAAAATCCATTGAAGAAAAAAACTCCTTTAAAAGTACAATTGGCCAAGTAGAAAAAAAGTACAAAAGCTAATTGAGGGAAACTACTTCTTAAAAGTTAGATTTGGGCACATGAAAGCTAATGACTCTATGAGACATCAATAATCAAATAAATTCAAAAGAATGAAAAAAAAATAGAAGAATGTAAAATACTTCATGGAAAAAATAATTGACGTGGAAAACAGATCCAGGAGAAACAATGTCAGAATCATCAGACTACCTGGAAGCCATAACCAAAAGGAGGGCCTAAACAGCATCTTTCAAGAAATTATCAAGGAAAACTGCCCTGGTATCCTGGAACCCAAGGGCAAAACAGGCATTGGAAGACTTCACTGATCACTTCAGGAAATAGATCTCCAAATAAAAACTCCAAGGAACATCATAGCCAAATTGCAGAACTATCAGGTCAAGGAAAAAGTACTGCAAGTGACCAAAAGAAACAATTCAAATATCAGGGAGCCACAATCAGGATTAATAGGACTTAACAGCTGCAACATTAAAAGATTGGAGGTCAGGAAGCATGATATTCTGGAAGGCAAAGGAGCTAGGACTATGACCCAAAATCATCTACCCAGCGAAATTAAACATAATACATCAAGGGGGAAAACAGTCATTCAATGAAATAGAAAGATTTCAAGCTTTCATTAGGGGAAGACCAGAACTGAACAAAAAATTTGATCTCCAATATCAAGACCCAAGAGGAGCCTAAAAAAGGTAAAAAGGTAAAATAAAACATAAGGGATTCAATGGAGCTGAACTGTTTACATCCCTACATGGGAAGATGACACTTGTAATTCTCAAAAATTATACCACTAATAGTACAGCTAGAAGGAATATACATAGACAGAGGATACAGGTATAAGGGGAATTTGAGGGAATGACATTAAAAAAATAGTTAAGGGATTAGAAAGAAGAGTACACTGGGTGCAGAAGGAAGGGAGAGGTAGAACAGGGTAAATTAGTGAAAAGGAGTAAAAAACCTATTATGATAGAAGTAAAGATGGGAGGGTGGGCGATGGGCATTGCTTGAACCTTATTCTAATCAGTACTGGCGCAAAGAGGGAATAATATACACAATTAGTTGAATACATAAGTCTATCTTACCCGACAGGAAATTAGTTGGGGACATTAGGTAGGGGGTGGGGCAGGACTGACAGAAAGGAGAGTAGATGGGTGAGGCAGTAGACAGAATCAAAACACTGTCAAGGAGGGAAAAGGTAGAAGGAGGGAGAGGACAAACAGGAGGAAAAATACGATGGAGGTAAAATCAGTTAGTAATTATAGCTGTGAATGTGAATGGGATGAACTCTCCCATAAAACGTAAGTGGATCAAAAACCAGAATCCTACAATATATTGATAACAATATATTGATAACTACTTGAAGCAGACAGACACACACAGAGTAAAGGTAAGGGGCCAGAGCAGAATCTATTATGCTTCAGCTGAAGTAAAAAAATCAAGGACAGCAATCCTGATCTCAGACAAAGAAAAAGCAAAAATAGACTTAATTAAAAGAGCTAAGCAAGGAAACTACATGTTGCTAAATGGTACCACAGACAATGAATAACAATACTAAACATATATGCACCAAGTGGTATAGCATCCAAATTATTTTTAATATTTAGTTTTAGTTTTCAATATTCATTTTTATAAGATTTTGAGTTTTAAATTTTCTCCCCCTCCCCACTCTCCAAGACAGCATGCAATCTGATATAGGTCACACATGTACAATCATATTAAACATATTTTCACTTTAGTCATGCTGTAAAGAAGAATTAAAACCAAAAGGAAAAACCACGAGAAAGAAAAAAAAAGGGGGGGAAATAATATACTTTGATCTGCATTCAGACTCCATAGTTCTTTCTCTGGATGTCGATAGCATTTTCCATCATGAGTCTTTTGGAATTGTTTTCGATCATTAGCATCCAAATTCTTAAAGGAGAAGTTAAGTGAGTTACAGGTTCATGACCAAACAAGAGATAGAGAGCATTATGAAATATAAAAGATAATTTTGATTATGTTAAATTAAAAAGCTTTTGCACAAACAAAATCAATGCAACCAAGATTAGAAGGAAAGCAGAAAGCTGTGAAACAGTATTTACAGCAAGTGTCTCTGACAAAGGCCTCATTTCTCAAATATATAAAGAACTGGGTCAAATTTATAAGAATACAAGCCATTCCCCATTTGATAAATGGTCAAAGGATATGAACAAGTAGTTTTCAGATGAAGAAATCAAAGCTATCTATAATAGAAGGAAGTGCTCTAAATCACTTTTGATTAAAGAAATGCAAATTAAAACAATTCTGAGGTACCACCTCACACCTATCAGATTGGCTAATATGACAAAAAAGGAAAATGACAAATGTTGGAAAGGATATGGGAAAACTGGGATACTAATGCACTGTTGGTGGAATTGTGAAGTGATCCAACCATTCTGGAGAGCAATTTGAAACTACACCCAAAGGGCAAAAAAAACTGCATACCTTTGATCCAGAAATATCACCACTAGGTCTGTATCCCAAAGAGATCATAAAAAAAGGAAAAGGACCCACATGTACAAAAATATTTATAGTAACTCCTTTTGTGATGGCAAAAAATTGGAAATTGAGGGGATGCCTGTCAATTGGGGAATGGCTGAACAAGTTGTAGTATATGAATGTAATGGAATACTATTGTGTTATCAGAAATGATCAACAGGCAGATTTCAGAAAAACCTGGAATGACTTGTACGAACTAATGCAAAGTGGAATGAGTAGAACCAGGAAAACATTGTACACAGTATCAGCAACATTGTGTGATAATCAGCTATGAATGACTCAGCCCCTCTTGTCAACACACTGATCCAAGACTAATTCAAAGGACTCATGAAGGAAAATGCTATATCCACATCCAGATAAAGAACTGATGGACTCTGAATACATATCAAAGCATACTTTTTTCACTTACTTTATTCTTTTTAGTGTTTTTTTTTATTTTTATCTGTTTCTTCTTTCACAATTGTGACAAATAGGGACATATGTTTTACATGACAGCACATGTGTAACCTGTATCAAATTGCCTCCTATTTTCAGAAGATGGGAGGGGAGGGAAGGAGGAAGAAAAATCTGAAACTCAGAATTTTGTAATAATGAATGCCAAGTTGTCTTGACATGTAATAGCTGAAAAACTATTAAAAATTTTAAAAAATAAGTGAAAGTTCATTTAATTTTCTTCTAATTTCTGTTTCTTAAAAGGTGCTATAAATAATAAAGATGGGAAAGTTGATCCCAGTGTTCTGGCTGTATTCCAGGATTATATCAAATTGATACCTTTGGTTGCAGAAGCAAATCAAATGAGTGAAGAGCTGATGAAGGTAATTAGCAATGCTGGTATAGCCCAGCCAGTGTCCCTTCACTTCCCCTCAAATATCCTGTACTCTTAATTTCATTAGTCCTTTTCTGGATGTGCCTTTTGTTTACACACCCTCCCTTAGATGTAGGCAGTTAGGTGCCACAGAGGGTAAAGCAGCACTGGGTTTTTAATCAGAAGACCTGAGTTCAAATCCTGCCTCAAATATTTACTATCTGGGTGACCCTGGACCAGTCACTTAACCTTGATCAGCCTCAGTCTCCTCACGTATAAAATTAGGGAGTTTGAGTTTAATTGCTTCTAAGATCCCTTTCTGTCTCTAAATCTGTAATTCTGTGAAATCCATAGAGATTCCTCTCTCCAAAAAGAAGACAACTCAAAACCACATGGGCTGGAGTGAACTGAGCATGGAGCCATATTTTAAATTTAAACAGACACCTCAGAGATTCAAGACAGTGTCATGACTGCTGCCCTCACAGAAGCATAGAATCGAATTCAGGTGGTCTGAGCAGCAGCAGGGCTAAGAGACTCTAGGGAGGTGGGGAGAGGGCCACCAGGCTGCCCCTAAGAATAGGTGAACTGCTCAGATCAGGAAGGGAGTGACTCCAAGCTTCCATGATGGTCAGCAGTGGTCCCAGCCATTGTGATTCCAGCCTGGGTAAAATAGGGAAACCCAGCCTCAAAAAATAAAATAAAACTAGAGTTGGTATTAAAATAGCATCCTTGAGTCAATAAAGTCATATATTTAAGTCATATATTTATAGCTGGAAGAGACCCTAGTGGTCATTTAACAGAATCTCTCATTTTAAAGAAGAAACATGGCCCTAGAAATTGTCATGCAGCCAATTTGTGTCAGAGCAAGAAGTAGAACCTGACTGATCTATCCTTATGAATTGGGCTAACATGAATGATTTGCTGCATTTTTGGTTTGACCTGTTTGTATGCACCCCCTTTATTCCCTTGAGCAGGAATAAAATGTTTAGGCCAGCACACTTCACAAAGTTTGTTTCTTAGCTGTGTGTGAAAAGGTAAGATGATAGAGAATATATCCTGAAGCCTGATGGAGTTAGAACAGCCATCTGAGAAGTATTTCCTTTTCTAGGGGCTTAAATTGGAGCTAAAAGTGAAGAATTTGGCATCATCCGATTCTAAAGGTTATGATCTGCAAAAGGAAGTCATAGTGAAGGTGACCAACAGAGAGACTCAGGAGGTGAGGCTGCATGGGGAAGGCATGAACATTCATTTGTAGGCGACATGCTTCATTTGAAAATGTTTTCCCTCATCCATGGAAGCAGAGAACAGAACAAATGTCAGTGAGCAAAAGGTGACAAAAAGACAAAACTGAAAAATGTACTCCAAAGGTAAAGGAACCATGGCCCGTGTAATTCAGAACAATGGGACTGATTTGGAAGACCAAGCAAGGAGTACCAACATGAGTTTAATCCCTATCTCTGAGGAAACCAGTAAAGAAAGGAAGCTATCCACCCTTCCCCAGCCCCGCAAACAAAACAAAACAAAACAGGAAAAAGAAAGGAAAATGCTTTCCTGGGAGCAAATTTTTTTTACCTAAGTTCCTATTCTTTTGTCTATTTGAAAGGTTATTGTTGGGTTGTTTTTCAGTCGTGTCCAACTCCTAAACTGCTGAACTCCTAAAGTTCTAAACATTTTCTTCTGAGTTGCAAATACAACATTGCAGTTCCCAAATGACTGGTGGCTTCTATGAATTTTCTGCTGCTCTCCTGCTCCACATCTGTGGGAAGTTTTGCCCAAGCTCAGGCCTGTTGGAAGGATTAGGGGAAATGGTCTGGGATTGAGATGGTTAACCCTTGAGCTTTTTCATTTCCAGATGTAAGTATGTTTTGAGATGTGTTTATCTCAAATTGTGAGTGTTTTCCAAATGTGGGTGTGAGTTCAGTTGCCTGGACATCATGGGAATGATGCAAGATCAAGGTTCTGAACCCTGTGGCCTTCCCTTAGTGGTAACAGACTGTACCCTAAGCCTGGCCAGTCATCATCAGGCAGGTGAAAGAAATTAAGTTGACTCACAGCACAGCACACTTCCTATTTACGACCTTGCAACAGCAGCTTGAGCTTTGTAACCTGATTGCCCATTCTATTGTAATATCTGACTCATTTAACTGAACTTAACAAATATTAGGAAGTGCCTATCAGAGGCAGTTAGGTGGCACAGTTGCTAAGAGAGCTGGCCTAGGAGTCAAGAAGACCTGTGTGCAAATCCAGCCTCAGACACTTACTAGCTCTGTGACCCTGGGCAGGTCACTTAACCTTTGTTTGAGAAGGAAATAATACCCACAGACAGTATGAACCACGAGGTGAAGAAGAGTTGGACGTAACTGAATGACTTAACAACAACTCTCAGGCCCAATTACCTGAGAACACAACATTCATCCAGTTAGAATAAAAACAATTTAATCCTAAGAGATAAAAAAAATCATTAAAATGTCGCTGATCTTACTTTGCATTTCCAGGTATGGATATGGGATAAAGCCAAGTTCATTAACAGGAAATATCTAATGGAGGAAATTTACCAGCACTTTTTAGATGGAGAAGATATCCAGGTAGCTCAAGAAGATGACCCATTCTGGGATCCCACTGAGGCCATTCACCTGGGATCCGCTCATGTCTGGCTCCAGTCTCTTGCTTATTCCATGAAACTCGAAGAGCAGGCAGAACTTTTGAACTCTGAAGGGCTGGAAGAGGCTGTTGTACTCATCAACATAATTCCATGTTCAAGAACAGGAGAGTAGGTTTCTTCCTCCTTTGCTTCTTTCCTTCTTTTGAAACTGTTCTAATAATATTTGGAAAATTCACAGGAGGCAGTATGGTCTATTGCTAAAGATGCTGAACTTAGAGCCGTGTTTAATCATGTAACTGAGCACCTGAGATGGTACTGGGCTAGAAACTTTGGGGGATGTTGTTCAGTCATTTTTCAGTCATGTCTGATTCTTTGTGACCCTATTTGGGGTTTTCTTGGAAAAGATACTGATGTGCCATTTCCTTCTCCAGCTCATCTTACAGATGAGCAAACTGAGGCAAACAGGGTTAAGTGACTTGCCCAGGGTCACACAGCTAGGAAGTTTGAGGCCAGATATGAACTCAAGTCTTCCTGACTCCAGGCCAAGCACATTACCATGACACCTAGCTGCCCCAAAGAAGTAAAAATACTTGTTTTAACTTATTAGATGACTTTGGATCCATCAAGTAACATCTATGACTCCATTTCCTTGTCAACAGAGGGCACAATAGGATAATATTTCCTTACCAACTGTTTGATGGATAGGAAGAAAGGTCAGTGAGGACTGAGATGTCTTATCAGTAGCAGTGAAAAATGCTTACATAAATCCAGAATGCTATTGTTATTGGTTTTCCTTATTTCTGCACCACAAAAAAGCTGTTGAGTTCTTCAAGTTAAAACAATAGCCACGTGATTTTAAAGTCCCACCAGTGATTTTGGCTCTACACGTCCAGAGCTGTAGCAATCTAACAATTAGTAATATCCTGGGAAGTTGAAGATCGAACTCGTCTCTCCTTCATAGCCAACAAGCACACCCATGGCATGAGGGAATAGTCATATACAAGTGCCTTGTGTCCCAATGCTACATCAGTACAGGCATTTTAAAACAACAAGAATGACCTTTATACTTTGAGGGAGCCTTGACTTCATCTGTTAGCATGTTTGCTACCAATGCTACTAATCAGTAGAGGTGCTACTTTCACAAGACCCAGAGACCCTGTCTACCCATCCTTACCTCATCCTGGGAAACTGGTCCATGTTTTATCACAAATTTCCCATAGAGGATTTACCCAATACCCCTCTGTAATTCTTTCCATTTTTTAAAATAAATGATCTATAGAGGATCTTTCCAATGTTATGGAAGGCTTCCTCTGACTCTTGTAGTATTCTAGGGACACCAATGTAGCATTCAACCAAACCAACTGCTTCCATCAGTCCACCTCTGTATTTAGTCATGCTTGTCTTGGATGCCTCTTATACCATGTCTCTGGCACAAGCTATAACCTGTTCTGGCCTACTGAATGGAGTTAGCTGTGGTCTAGTTCATCTGTCTCCAAAATGAGGGCACTACAACCTGGGAAGGCCATGGTGTGACCCCAGTGGGCGACTGATTGAGAAGCAGCATCCCACCATCTCTACGAGTGCTTCTTGTGCCATCTCTCATGGCTCCGCAAGCTTTCAGCATGGCCCCTGCTGCTCTGGGAGTTAACTCTCAGAGCAATTATAACCTAACAATAATCTGTGCGACTGCACCAGCAACTGTGCATGCAAAATTCACACCCTGCTCCTTAATGTACCCATGCCTTACTCCCCAGATCACTTTGTGGCTTCAGAAGGTTCTGTACTCCTGGGCAGAGGGATATCATTTGGAACTCAAAACTTCAGCTTCTCTACTTCTATTTAGAGCACCATTAACCTTCCTGTCATCTACACTAACAAGCCGGGCGTCATCCTCAATTCCTCACTTTCCTTTATGTCCCATTGCCAATCAATTGTCAAGTATTACAGACGCTACCTCCATAGCTCTTCCATCCATTCCCCTTCTTTTCACTCACACAGCTACCACCCTGATTCAGATCAGTAAGTGCTAGTGGTTTCCTATCTCCTCAAGGATCAAGTATTATTTCATCTTCATCTCATCCTTTTAAAATTTCTATGTGTTTTATAATGTATATAATCATCAATGTAGTAGTAGTACGTATAATTTATAATTAAGTATACATGTATTTGAATGACTATGCATTTATTAAGCAATCACTATGTGCTAGGCACTGTGCCAAGTGGGGGGAGGGGGAAGTGATCAAAAAGGTTTGGAGACCACTGGGGGTGAGGTGATGATAACCGACTTTAAGGTTGTTGGTGACTCACAAATGTCACCATAGACCTAGTGGTACATCTTCTTCCCCTCATCCACTAAGGAAGCCTCAGGGCAACAGTCAATATCTCAGCAGACTATGCATTTCCCTCTCCTGTTTTACAGGGCTTATGGTGAGGACGATGTGGTTATCGACCCTTTAGAGCTACTTGGCAAGAGGATTGATTTCCAGATTCAGATTGCACAGTGCCTTGGTGTTAAATGGCTCAAAGAAGATGCAAGGAGGGGCATACAAATTGGGTATTGTGCTCTGTTAGCTCCTTACACAACTATGTTATTTGTTAACTTGGTAGTCTAGATATGAGGACGCTCCAATTTTTAGTTGTATTTTTTCTAGTTTCTTTTTCTTCAACTGCATAATCTATCTGCATGCACATCCATACGCATGTGCATGCATATGCATACACATACATATATACCCACATACCACATGTAATTTAACAGCCATGAGCTCTTTCCACTAAACCAGTCTACCACCATTTTAGGTTCATTGAGAATCTCTCCTAAATATCACCAAGGTTTATGTGGTATGAGCCAAGTCTAAGATAAAAAACTGGCTGGTAGTGGTGTTCTAATATTATTTTGAAGAAACATGACGTTTAAAAGCCTATTTATCTGTTTTCCAGCATTATCTAATATGAACAGTAGTATATTTTCCTAATGAACTGGGAAGAGAACATTACCATCTAACACTCTGGGCATGTATTTATGTTTTTAAATATGCCTGGAACTATTCATTACACATTACAAAATGTCAAGACTTAAAAACATCCATCTACTGGAAAAAGTAATATTTTAAGTTCTATACAGGAGGCAAACATATAAAGCAATGATTTCTTTTTTGTTTTTTTGGTGAGGCAACTGGGGTTAAGTGACTTGCCCAGGGTCACACAGCTAGTAAGTGTAAAGTGTCTGAGACCACATTTGAACTCAGGTCTTCCTGACTCCAAGATTGGAGGTCTATCCACTGCGCCACCTAGCTGCCCCTAAAGCACTGATTTCCTCAAGAGATACAGAACAACAATTTCAAGGCATCCTTAATAAGATTATGATAGCAACTTCTAGCTGCTTCTGAAGTGCTACAGTGGGCAATCATAAGGCCACACTTCAAAGTAAACATGGCTATAAATCTTGTCCTTATTCATGACAATGCCTCCATAGTCTTAATGCCTACTTTGGCTTCTTTTTTTCAGCTACAAAGTCTATGACCTTCCAATCACTTTGTACACAAAGCCTGTCTGGAAAAACACGAATGCCAAAATTGAAGAGACAGTCCATTTTGTGGCCTTAAATGCATCTCATGAGTTCTTGAATTACTTACAGAAAAATGCTCTAAATGTTGACTTATGGGGTCTTCAAGGTATCTCTTTCATTTTCTTTTGAGAATCATCTTTTTAGATAACAAGTTTGTCTATCTGCGGTAATAAAGGGAATAGAAGAGTAACTTTTTCAGTCTTTGTTCATATTCACAGGGGTTCCTAGCTCCTAATCCAGAATGTGACTAGTATATGCTTAGTAGTAGTCTGCTCCAGTGAGCTAAGAAGGGAAACTTGAATTCTTTTTTTACAATCTGTGCCCTACCACAGAAGGCTGTACTGAACTGAACTATACTCAGAAAGACCTTATCACACGGGAAGGCAACATTTTGGTAGACAATACGAAAACATTAACAGCTCCAGACGCCAACCAGGTAAGTGTGTTCAAATGATACATGAAATAGAAAATGATTACACTTACTTCGGTTATTAGTGGTTTTCTTTTCACCTTAATCAATATGACTCTCATTTGCTCCTGCCTCTTCAGAAGTACTTTTCACATTATGCTAAAAGTAACAATCTCCAGAAAAGATGATAGCTAGGCAATCTATGAAAAGAGGCTAGAATAAGTTACTACATGCTGGAATTACTTTATAGGCTGCATCAAACCAAATGGCAGAACTTTATTTGAAGCTACTGAAGTTAGAACAGGAAACAGAACTGCTGAGAAACATTAACAGAGCCCTAAAAGAAGAGAACGTACTTCTCAAGGATTCACTAAAGGGATGTGGTCCTGGACAAGGTCAGTGATGCACTTAAACCTTGATTATGTTAAGCTATCAATCATAGGCTTCTAATTAGAATGTTTCTGATATAACTACTAAGCCAAGGAAGGACAATCTATTTGCTGCTCTGCCGGGTAATTCTACAGTATTACTGAAATGTTTCACTTAACAGGATGGTAAAAGTTTTGCAAACACATGTTTCCCTATCAATTATTTCAGGGAGACTATGCCTACTTTTTGAGTAACCCTGAAAAAAAACAACCCAAGAAACCCCCCTGTCTTCCAGATCATAAACTATCTAGTGCATCCAGAATAACTGCACAGGCAGCATCACAAAAAGACACTCCCCAGATGCACACTCCTCGGATCAGCAATGATGCTGACTTTGCCAAAGCTCTTAAGGTCTTCTATCAAGGTATGAACATAGTAAGAGGACAGTTTCTCAAGCTAAGACATAACAGGCCTCCTGTAAGTAACCAGCTACTTCCATCTTCTATGGGTAAATGGATTTTCTTTCCAACACATTTAGCAGCATCCTGGGAGGTATTAGTCACTAAACTTCTTTTGCCTATCAAAATGTAAAGAGTTAACTTCTGTAGGTAACAGTAGAAATGAGGTACAGAATATGTTTCTCGGCTGAGCTCTATGTGACAAAGCCAGGCCTCCTTAAGTATTACATTATTCCAAAAAAAAGAAAGAAGACATGACCACTCTTACTCATTTTGGTTCATTTATTTTTCAGGAAGACGATCAAATGTTACGTCCTTTTACACTAAGACAGTCACATCTCTTAAAGGACATTGGTGAACTACTCGAAGCCAGCCTGTGGAAACTGAAAAATGATGTTGCTCTCATAGTTAAGAAGAAGAGAGAGAGTTTAGTGCACACCAAATATCGAGGCTCCAGCTTCCCATAAAACATTTAAAATTCACTTTGATTAACTTGTTAATATTAATGCTGGTTTACTAAATACTTATGTTTTATAAAAGAGGCTGAATGAGTTAATTACTGATCAAAAAATTATCTGTAGTTTGAAAATGAAATCTGTAGGTACCGAGGACAAACTGTAAATGGCTTAAAACCCTAAATTTTTTAATTATATGCTATCATTTGAACCATTTATTTACTTTGTGTGTATAATAATTATCTAAGGAAACTCATTAAAGGAAAAGCTATTTCCAGTGACCACACTGAGGATGTTTTAAAAGACTGTACTATTTTATGTGTACTCAGAGTTTAATTCTGAATGAGACAGCATGATAAGCGCTTGGGGTCTGAGAAAGCAGCACAAACCAGAATGGACTTTGAAAAAGTTGGTCTACTCCCTCACATCCTACAAATGAATCAACTGCATGCCACAGAGGCTTTTCCCAAGGGCAGATAGCACAAATACAAAGATATCTGATAATTTCTTAGAAGACACTCTAAGGCTATATGGCACATGTTTAATGTTTTAAAAAACCCACATACAGCTTTCATGAAGGACAACATACTTCAACGGAGAACCCAGTTTTGGCCTAAAAGGTGAATAGGAAAAAACTTACTTTGAGCACTGAAAATCAAAGAAAAATCTTTATCAGCACACTCAAGTATAGTCTTTAAAAATGCAGCCAGAAGAAGAAAGACTCCCTAAGTATCATTAGCAGGTAAGTCAGGGCACGAGAAGCACATTCATACTCCTGCGTAACTATGAGAGGCAAGTCAGCACACAAGCAATCACCTCGATGGCACCTGTACTTTGTCTTCATCTCACTAAATAACCAAAGCTAGTTAGAGGGTAGTGAGAATCAAGCTCGAATAGCAAAGGCACATAAAAGCATCAGGGAAACTCACTGCAAAGTTGCCCTCCATGTTTCAAAGCTCACTCCTCCCACCTGACCAGCCACTTCACATCTATGTAAGGGAAATATCTCATGCTCTGACAAGCAATGATACCAAGTTAAGAATAGCAACTTAGCGCATGTGTGCCAAGCACAAACTGCTTTTTATGAAAGCTTTTTTGCCCTGATCACAAGGAATTACCACAAGAATTTCAAGCGTCAAATGAAGAAGCTATTAATTCATGCAATTTTATAAATATTTCTAATTTTTAGACTTCAGAGCTGCTAATGACACTAAATTCAATGCCACATCGGTTGAGTCTTTCAATCAGCTTGGTTTTGGAGAAAGCAGCTCCTGGTGTAAAGACACCACCTCTGGAAAACAAGATAAATTAGAACGTTAAGACAAAGTATCCAAGTCCTGATCCCTTTAACATGCTGCAGAATTATTTCGCAGATTGCTTCCAACAAACATGTAGGTTACAGCAGAATCAAAAAATCACAATTCTTAAACTCTGAAGGATACTTTTTTTTCTTATAATCATTATCATTTCCACACTCTTAATTATTTAAATCAACACCTATCATCCTGAAGGAAAGCTCATGCCATCTGCACCGTCACTGGGCTTCTCATCTGGATCAGTTAAGTACCCTGACACCACAGCCCCAGGGGACCTAAACTATTCCAGTTTGGGACTCTCACTCTAGGGTGGGGCCACACCGCCACCAACTCCCTCCCCCCTCCCCCCCAAATATACAGTAATTAACTCAATTAAAACCTTTCTTCTGGAAAGGGCATATGGTTGACTGTCTAAGAACTCTCTACACATCCTTTGATTTCCCTGGTTAAATTATTCTCTCTAAGCAGATGATGACCAAATCTATCCAGCCCTAGTTTTTCTCCTATTTAGTAAACTCCACTGGTTCTCTATTTACCTCTAGGATCAAAAATGAAATGTCTCTGGTATTTAAAGTTCTTTAGGACCTGACCCTGCTCTCCAGTCTTTTAACACTCTTAACACTCCTCTTCACACCCGCTCCATAGTCCTGTCCTGTTATTCCTCACCTAAGATGCCTCACCTTCCTAACCTCAAGGCAGAATCTCTCACTTCTCTAAGATCCAGCTCAAACACCATCTCCTCCAAGAGGACTTTCCTGGTACCTCCCATCCCAAGGTGAGCTTCCAAATGCTGTATTTTGTCTTCTATGTACCAACTTATACGTATGTTGTCTCACTCCAATCTCCAGCACTTAATGCCTATTGGCTAATTGTTTTAGGCCCTGCCTAATTTCTTTTTATAGACTCTAAAAGCCTGTAGTCTCAAATTACTTTGCAGGGTTGTCCTACTGTTAAAGTAACAGTTCAATTCTCCATTAACATAGTTTAATAAATGAATATCTAGCTTAGGACAAACTATCCCATTCCTTCTTAAATGTAAATACTTTCATTATCAACAGTATACAGCTCAGGACTGATTACTGGGCAATGATTTCATCTTAGGCATGTATAGTTAAGACTTTTTCCCTAACCCTGGGATCCATGTCCATTTTTAAAAACAAGTAGTTAATAGAAATAACCAGTTGATAAAATAATTTAAATATCCCTGTATCTTTGGACAATGGAACTGAAAATACTGAGAACCATCACAAAAAAGGCAAAAGTCTGACAGCTATACATGGGCTAATTCTTCTAAATATAAGAAAACCAACTCACCCCTTAGGAAGCTCAGAAGTATCTTTTAAAAGAGTCACAGCTGCCTGAACCATTGCTATGGGTGTAGCCACATAACCAGCCTCTACAGAAAACATTTTATTGAAAGAAAAAAAAATTAAAACACTATTTATTCAAGGTCACATAATCCAAATACAATTTTTTTTTGTCACTTTGCATACAGAACTTTTAAAACCTAACCTATTTATGAAGCCCAATAATCTAGGTTTGGGGCCTTTGATTTTTTTTTTCATTTGGAGAGTTGGGGAGAAAATCAGAGTTATGATTTCATAGATGTATGAAACTCCCTCCATCGAAACAGATCAGCAGCTGATGAGTCTTAAAAGTCTTTGAGGATGTTCCAAGACGCAGGGAAGTCACACAGTCAGTATGTGTCAGAGACAGGACCTGAACAGGTCTTCTGGACTCTAAGACCAGCCCTTTATTCACTATGCCACAAAGAGTAACGAAACTGGATGCTATCTGTTTTTCTATGTTCTACTTTCAAAAACTTAGTTATTCTATTTCTTACAAAAGGGAAAAATAGCTACTTATGGTTATTAACCTTGCAACAGGATATATAATCAGTGATCACTCCTACACCTATGAAATCATAAGTCTGCTTTCCTCTCTCTCTTCGTCCTTTAAAAAAAGCAATAAAAGTCAAACAGATGACAGACTGTCATATGAGACTAAAAACCAATCCACTTTAGAAAATCATTTGAGAATCTGAAAATGATGCCCAGTTATAGTAATTTGGCTTGACTGATAAAAAAAAAAAGTTTACATGTTTTACAAATGCTACTGTGTCTCTGTAGTTCTCTCTCTATATTCAGACTTCTGATACTATAATCAATATTTATAAGCCAACCATCCCTTTTCAAATGCAAGTGCTAACTTTAGCCCCAACTTTTCCCAAAGCGGAATTAATAAAGCTAAATAATTGATTTTACTAAAGAAATCCACTGTGATGGATGTTATTGTAAATGCATTTATTCTCTCAGTATCCCTCATTTCAACTTGATTCATGTAATTTATGCAAATATGATTCAACTTCTCCTCCACTTTAATCCAATGCCTCATTGTGGAGGTTATCCTGGATTCTTGAAAGCATAGTATAAACTCAAGCAGGGAGTATAAAAACTGAAAAAGCCTCGAATACAAATCTAGCACCAAACCAGAAGTCTAGCTAGACAAACTAGACCAGCCTAGCTAAATTTGGAGAGATTCATCATCAAAGGATTGGTCTCTACATAATAAATGAGTTGCTATGGCCAAAAAAAATTCAAATCTCTCTGATGGTAGGGCAGGTTTGGGATTGGGATAAGTAAAGGAAGTGCCCAAATGAGCTGAATCATGGATCCCTGAAGCTGAGAGGAATCAACTTCTATTTTAAAATGACTGTAGAATGTATATATCCCAAAGCCACAAGAAGAAAAGCTCAATGTCCCTAAATTACAAACATACCTGGTCCTTTCACTTGAGTGCAAATTTTAATATTGGGTTTGCCATGTTTTGTAGTATGGTCCTGACTATATCCTTGACCAAAGAATGTAAGTGTAAATGACGCATCATCCATCTACAAAAGACAAAATAAAGAGACATTTACTTAATATATATTTCTTCTTTGACCATAGGAATGCCTGTTACTCCCTAAGTCATAAAATTCTCATTTTCAGAACATGAAAACCAAGATTCAACTTGATAAGTCATATCAATCCTTTGGGCAAGAAAAATTCTAGCTTCTTTGATATTTCCAATTTTCAAAGTGATTACCCAAATAAAAATTTCTTATTAGTACATCAAATCTGCTTAGTTCTTATTTCAGAAAGATTAAAAAACACCTAAAAGTCCATTCATCCCATTAATATTCTCATACTGTATTTCTTTCAGTTCTACATAACAGTTCTGCCTCCCCTGCACCTTTTTTTTTTTTGTTTGTTTGTTTTTATTTGTTTTGTTTTGGTGAGGCAATGGTGACTCGGCCAGAGTCACACAGCTACTAAGTGTGGTGGCCTGAGGCCAGAGTTGAACTCGGGTCTTCCTGACTCCAAGGTCAGTGCTCTATACACTGCGCCACCTCACTGCCTCCACACCTTCTTCCGTTAAGAAAATGTTACATGCCCCTAAAAGATACCAGACCATTCAAGAATTATTTATCAAGCATGTGTGCAGAATGATTGTGAGATTCAAAGAAAATATAAGCCTTAGTCCTTTCCCTCTAAGACTTTACAATCTAGTTGGGTAGATAAATACACACACACCATGTGTATACATATATGCACATACAGGTGTGAGCACAAATGTGTATGCTCACATAGCTGTACATAGGTGTATCTACAAATATATACTTGCACACAAGCGCATAATTGTTACACAAAGTTAATGTGCACACGAATGGTAAAGACAGAAAGTACCAAGGGAATTCAAAAAACAGAGTGTTCTTCTGGTTAAGGTAGAAAGAGAAAGCTTCCTGGGAGATGCAATCTGAAAAGGCTCTTGAAGAATAAGGTGGATTTGGGGCAGCTGGGTGGTGCAATGGATAGGATACCAGCCCTGGATTCAGGAAGATCTGAGTTCAAATCCGGCCTCAGACATGTAACACTTACTAGCTGTGTGGCCCTGGGCAAGTCACTCAACCCCATGCCTAGCCAAAAAAAAAAAAGGTGGATTTTATCAGGTCAAGAGGCAAAAAAGATGTTCATAATATGCTAAGTAAATCAAGCAATCTGCCTAACTTGAAAGATTTGTGTAGAGCAATTGTGTGCGACAGTAACTGGAAAGGAGGCTGTGGGCAGACAGGAAGGATTTACAATTATGACCGATGGCTGCTGGATTTTATCCTGAGGGTCACAAGCAGCCAAGAGAGGTTTAGAGTCTGGGAGCAACACAATCAAAAGGAAGGTTTAGGAAGACTAATTTGACATGGTATGTAGAGTGAACAGAGGGAAATCACTTAAGACAGGGGTTCTTAATCTGGTATCTTTCAATCTGTGGAGTTTTGGGGTAAATATTTTGATAATTATTTCAAAATAAATGTTTCCTTTGTAATTCTATGTATCTTATTTTATGCATCTAAAAAAATTATGCTGAGAAAAGACAGGTTTCTCCTGACTGCCACAGGGGTCCATGACACACACACAAAAAAAAGGCTAAAAGTTCTCAAACTGGGACATGAATACAACAGACTGAATATGAACCTGAAATGACCTTTTTAAGTGTAAGGATATCAAACAGGCCTTGGTCTTAGTGAGGAATAAAGATAAGAGAAGGGTCAAAGATGATTTTTCTATTTAAGCTTATTTTTCAGTCGTTTTTCAACTGTGTCCAACTCTTCATGACCCCATTTGGGGTTTTCTTGACAAAGCTACTGGAGTAGTTTGCCATTTCCTTCTCCAGCTCATTATACAGATGAGGAAACTGAGGCAAACAGGGTTAAGTGACTTGCCCAGGGTCACATAGTTAGTAAGTGTCTGAGGCTGGATTTCACCTCAGGAAGGCGAGTCCTCCTAGAGGCCCAGCACTCTATCACGCCACCTAGCTGCCCCCCAGTCACCCAAATGTCAAAGATCTAGGGACACAATACAATTAAAATAAAAACCAAAGATGAAAGATGTTTTTAAAACAATCAAAAACTAAAGGCTCACTATATATTTAAGATGAGGGTTTAATTTTTCATTTTTCTGTTGTTATTCAATGGGGCAGAAGGGCTGTGGAAGGGACAGCTTACAAATGTGTTGGGAAAAAACTAAGAGTTACAATGCCTCTTACCATTAAGTTTGATCTAAAACAATTTTGAGAAAATGCTTTATAAACAGAAAAGGATTACCTGTTTCTGTGTTGGTCCTTGTTGTGAGAAATACCCAAAGGAGAAAAACCACGGAAACTAAAGAAAAAAACACCTAGAGTGAATTTTAAGAGAACAAGTGGACAAATGCTTCTTTTAAAACAAACACTGACAGCCATACTTACTTTGACCAGAAGTTGTCTTCCAATGCTAAACTTCACAAAGAGTAAAAAGAAAAGTCCTGCAAACATCAGCTTAATAACGGAAGTAAGGCCTCCAACAGTCACATAAGCAGCATACTGAACCTAAATAAAGAGCACCAAGCTGTTATGGGATGTTCTACATTCTGGCTGTACTAATTAACACCGAGATTAGGTCCTTAGTTCTTACGTATGGACTCGGGGGTAGGGGGAGAATTCGGTAGAAATAATGTTATAAATGTTTAAGTTCCTAGGACAGGCCAGGAAAACTCATTTTAACCCATAATATCACAGAACTGTATGCAGCACCACCTTGAATAACACTGTTTCTACGTGAATTTGTTCCCAGTTCCAATTTGGGGCACCAGATATCCCCCAGATGCAGCCCTGGCTTGAGACAAGAAGTCTCAAGCAGCAGAAGGTTACAGCAAAAGAGTAAGAAGGGAAGGAGCTGTCCAGGTGTACCACATATGAGAAAGGGCTATTCCATGGCCACAGAAATGGACAAGTGGCCAGCCACCACTGTTGTGATATAGAATCCAAAGTCATGTAGCTAAAATAAAAAAACTAATAAAAACAAAATATGTTCCTTGGGAACCATCTGGTCCTACCCTACTTAAAGATTCTGGTTTACATCCAAATAATGAAATGAGCATTGTTTAGCTCTTTTATTTTGTTGCTTTAAAAACAACAGATTTCTATTTAGGAGAAACTAATAAGGGAAAATATACTAAAGAATGCTCAGTCATTGACAAACTTCAAACATATAAACATACTGGTGATTCCTGCAAGTCTTCATACAAGAACCGCTGTGTCCGTTTCACAACAGAGACATCAGCTCCCAGGAATGGGATAGAATATTCCCGCAATTCACTACAGTAAGAAACAGGCCATCTGAAAGAGAAATCCAAAATGAGGGCTTCCCTCTTTCCTGCTTCCAACACAACAAAAGCTTAGAAACAATGTCTTTAAAAAAAAAATCAGAGAAAAATGTGGTGATCCTCTAACAGCAATAACGACATGAAGGCTGAGATCTGCTCTCAAGTCAGCTTCGTTCTCCTCTCTTTACTTCCTGTCTCCATGATGAGAAATTCCGGAGTGACGAAAGCATGCTCTGCACACAGAGGGCACTAAAGATCTATGCCATAATTTCTTTTTGTTCAGACACATAACATTCGCTAGCTGTGTGACCTTGGGCAAGTCACTTAACCCCACTGCCTAGCAAAAAATAAATTTCTTTTTGTCAAAAGCCTTCGAAGGCAAACAAATTCTAGATTAAAGAACCCACATTTCTATAGGCAAATCCTGAAAGTACAAGGTAGTTTGTACCAACAGGCTTCATGGCTTCAGGATTATATTTTTTCCCACAACAAAAAAAAGCTATCAATAAGACACAGCAGAGCAGACAAGAGTATCATATATTAAGATGATTCACATTTAAATTTGACATTGGGTAATAAAATTTGCTACAAAATTACTTTTACTCCCAGGCTCTAAATATACTATTATACACAGAATATTCCTTTTTAGGGTGATCTGAATTATAACTTCAAGTTTCTTTTTTTTTTTCTTTTTACTTTAATTGATAACACTGATCCCAGATCCCACACATTCTACAGTTGCTCTAATTAGTACACTGCAATCCGTTCCTTCACAAATTATAATAATATTCCAGTGAGCAATAATATGCTTAGAATAAGAGGTGTCTTATTAACAGATCTTAAGATTACATACCTTCTTTTCAATTTCGAACCAACAACTGGAACAGGTTTCATATTTGATTGTTTTCGTAGGTTTCTTAAATGCTTCTGGTCACCAAAACCATGAACAGCTGACTTCCAAGTGCCATCATGAATACACATTCCCTGAAGAAATATCGCAAGTGATAAAATACTTCAGAAGTGGCAAATCCTACACACACAACCTTTTTTTCATTATGCATTATTTCAGTGCATATTTAACTGTGTTAACTGAAATCAAGGTGTTTGAGATACTATCAGTTATCTAACAGAGTAGCAAAGACAGACTTTCATAATTGGTTGGCTTACACCAGAATTCACTAGCTTCAATACATTTACTGTTACATTCCCTCTCTGGCATAGGACAACCTGTCTGTATCCCTGACAGCCACTATTCATGTTCTTTCCAGAAATGCTGTACCACTCCATCCCTTTATCACCAAATCATATTCCTTCCTGTAAAGTAGAATTTATTGCCTAAATCTAACCCTACTGCCAACTGTAGAGACCTCTCAGACCATATCCCCCACCTCCGATTTTTTCATAATCCTCCTCAAAGAACATTCATTTACCTGCTTAAGTTATAAGTTAAAAAGTATTATTTGATAGTCATATCATCCTCTAAGGTGCAGTTTGGTAATCAAGTAAATCAATAAATCACATAAACCTGACAACAAAGTTAATATGACATATGAGATAGACAATCAACAAAAATTGACGTTGTACTGAATAATAATTAGGTATAAATAACACTAGAGGTCAGAAAGCCCAAAGATAAATTTCATTTACTTTCTATTTTACCTAGGAGCCAGCCCAGTCAACAACTAGCTATTCTGATCCCACCCCACCTACCAAGGAGCAGATTGAGCAGCGTTCGAAGGACAACCCAGACTTTGGGAGTGAGAGATAATTTTTGCCAGAGTTTAAGTTTGATACCCTGGAAAATAGAAACCCTGAGCTTGTATGGAACAGTTTGATGCTTGGAAAAATTCAAAGGAGAAAAAAAAAAGATTTGAGGGCCTGAGGCTGGGTCTGCAAAGAGAAGGCCTAGAGAAACTATTTCTAAGGTTAATGGGGTGGGGTGGGGTGGGGGGGGAAATAAACCCACAGTAAAAATCAAGCCACTGTTTCCAGCGACCTGTCCAGACCACCTTGCTCACTCGTCTCCCTCTGAAGACCCCTCGATTTGTTACCCAAAAGAATCCAGGGTGTTAAGCTTCCCCAAATTTTCTGGCAGGGGAACTCATAATCCAGGATCCTTGTGCTGACAAGTGTTCATACTCCCAAATTTGGGGAAGGATAGGAGAGCTTGGAGCTGTACTTTACTTAAGGAAGGGCAAAATGTTCTCTTTGTGAGAGCAATTTCCCTTCCTACCGATAGGCCAAAGATTAGGCTGTCAGGACCTCAAGATCAGGAGGCAGAAGTAGGGCACTGGTTGTTTCTTTTGACCAGCACAGAGGCAGGAAGGAAAAAGCTACACTTAAATAAAGGTAAGGTGAGTAGTGTGGTTTTGAGAAGGCCAAAAATATCTCCCTTATATTGACTGAAATTCTACCAATAAAGAGATTGATGTGTTTTGGAAATAAATAAACTAGAGCTGGGAGAAGGAAGGACATGACAACAGAAGGGAGGAGAAGAGTGAGAATTCCTTTTTGGAGCACTGGGCATAATAGCAGCATGAGCACACAATCTTTTTCTGGATGTGTTTAACATGTTAAGGAGCTCACAACACTAACCTCAGGTCCTGAATTCATTGTCAGGAAACTTTCAACAGCAGTCAGAGTACCTTTAAAAGTGGAGAAAACAGTTAACGCATCAAAAAACAAAATTCAATCATCCATGAGAGATTCAATTTCTCATTTACTCCTCCTTACCCTTGGCCCAATTTTAGTATCAACAGTCTGATACTGAGGCTGAGAGCTATAAGTCCTGGACTTTAGTCTCAGCTATGTACCAATTAAATACATGATAACAGAAAACATTCTTCCCGATGCCGATGCTATAATTTTACTACCTCTAGCAAGGAATGTGTTTATTGTCAGAAAGCAGTTCAGCATAAATCATATAAGGATAAAATAACTTTATTTGGTTTCTCCAGCATTTAAGAGGCAATACTAAAAACCCCATCATTTAACCATGGGGGTGGGGGAGGAGAAAACACTGTAGCTAACTTGCTTCGGAGGCCGCATTAATATGCAGTTCTACTCAAAAGCATTAGTTCTACAGACTACATTCTGAGGCAGGCCACCTGCTTTCACATTTTTTTCAGGACAAAAACATTCTCTTCTATGTTCTATGACAAGCAACTCTCAGATCTCAACCAAGTGTTATCTAAATAATTTAGACTTTCGACCCCTTTTTAGAGGAAAGAATCAGTCCTACCTTCAGGCCTCACCTTGGCCCATGTCCTCCATCTGGGCATGAACCTAAGTCAGGCTCCTACATTTTCATGACCAAGTAATAACTCTACCTCATACACAGATCACTTTTTAAACAGCCAAGGAAACAGTACCTTAGGTATTCAAAGAATTCAACCCTGAATTGACTACAAATTTAACACCTGGCAAAGAGCCATTTGAGAGGCAACCCAATGGATATGTACTGTCCATGAGCCATCCATATCCTAAACTCTTTATTAGTATTAAGTTAGATAAGAAAGCAACCTACGTAGACCACGTTACTTCAGTATTCTGATAAAATTCCATTTTCACCCTAGGTGCCAAGAATTACAGAGACAAATTTAGTGCCCAACTGTACTCATTAACTCAACTCAGTTTTTTTGATGGTCTCATTCTGTTTTAATTGCCCAATTTTATACTGTTTAATTTTGTAAGCCACTGCAAATCTTTTTGTGCATATAGGCAGGGTAGGAATACTAAAATGTTAAAATGACTAGATGGCCTTGGAGAAGTCCTTAAGTTCATTATCATTTGGTAATGATTAGACCATACCTATCTCACAGAATTGTTGTAAGAACAGTGATCACATTGTACATGTATAACCAAATCAGACTGCTTGCCATCTTGGGGAGAGGGGAGGGAAGGAAGGGAGAAAAAAGTTTGAAACTTATAAAACTGAATGGTGAAAACTTTCTTTACATGCAATTGGGAAAAAAAATATTAAAAATATTATTAAAAAAAAAAGAACTGTGATCACAGATAGAAAAGTGCTTTGCAAAATTAAACACATTACACAAAAACATTACTACTGTTAAACCAAGACAGTAGACCAACAGTCTAAACACAAAGAAGAGTAAACACAAATCTAAAGGTTTGAGAATTTGAAGATAGTTGCAGCCTGCCTCTTTTTGGCTGGATGATATAAAGATCAACAAAAGAGCTGAAAAGGCTCTTTTTTAATTGAAATATAGAAGATTAAATTGACTTAAGAATGACAAGCCATATTTCGGGCAGTTTGCAATATTTTTAATAACCCATGTAAACCATGACTGGACCCCACTATTTCACCTATTGAATTACAGTGTCATTAACATGAGATAGTGGATAGTGATGAACTTGAAGTCAGGAAGACCAGAGTTCAAATCCCACCTTTAACTGTGACCATGGCATATCATTTAGCCTCCCAAAGCCTCAGTTTTCCCATCTGTAATAACGACTGACATTTGCAAAGACCTTTACATACATCATCTTATTTGAGCCTCACAATAACCCTAACAAACAGGCATTTACAGGTATTATTATCCCCATTTTGCAGATTAAGAAACTGAGGCTGAGCAAGGTTACGCATATTCCCTGTGGTCTCACAGCTACTAAGGGCCAGAAATGGGATTCGAATGCAGGTCTTCCGGATTCCAAGTCCAACACTCTACGTACCTCTATCCTACCCTCTGTAAAACAGAGATATACGTAACGTGCTTTATAAACTTTAAACGGCAATAAATGGTTAGTTGTTATCATCCTCCTATTTAACTTCAGGAATAAGTTCAGGCCTACAGAGCTGAAGGTGCTGGAAGGCCTCCTAATTAACTGACTAGGTATATTCAACCACTTGTATATGTGGTAGCTTAGTGTACAATCTGCAAATATTATCAACTGAAGAATTCATTTCCAAATATTACTTAAGATTACCTAATACACCTGTATGTAAAAAGTATCCTGAAGAAATTTTAAAATCATTCCTAGGTTAAGTGGAAAAGAAAGTGAACACACTCTAATTTTTTGGTCCAAAAGTCATTAAACTTTAAGTACTATCCAGTCTAAACTCCTCATTTTACAGATGAGGAAAACGAAAGCCCCTCACCAAAGTTTACAGGACATGACCAATGCCGCATGGCTGATAACACACTCTTCAGGGCCCTTGATCCACCAGCCAGTGAGCTTGCCATTGTTCCTGGTGTAGCTTCTGTCACATCAGCTTTCTCTTTAAATGCTACCCAATCGACACGACAAAAAACTAAATAATATAAGCAGCTCCATGTTAAAAAAAAAAAATTCTCACTAGCTTTATTTTTAGACAAGAAGCCTGAAAATTTCAAACTGTCAACATCAATAAAGTTCTTGTGGAAGATAAAAGTGACTTTGGAATTCTTTGTCCAGACCCGTGATGTCAATGGCGCAGGGAATTCTCAGGCGTAGGAACACCCCCCCATGGACGGAGATCAGCAATTCATGTGTAACTTACAGCTTAATTCTCCGAAGCACAATTGTCACTGACTCCAACCTTGGTTAAACAATTACTGTGTGTCAGAGGCAGACTGAACCCACGTCTTCTTAACTCTAAGGCTAGCCCTCAATTCACTATGCCACAGTGCCTCTTGAATTTAAATTAGGAAAGCTTAGGGATAAATGCTTTTTTTAGAAATTTTTCCTCAGATATTCCACTCTCCCCCCATTAAAAAAAAAGTTCTCCACAGCTTCAAAATTTAGGAAATTTTACATTTTTTAATCATAACTAAATTATGCAATGAGTTCTGACTCATTATTAAAAACAGTTTTCAAGTCTCAAAACAAAATTTGACAATTCATCATTACATCTGTATCTAAACAAGGTATATCTTTACATTAGTCATCAAACTAATCACATATATCAAACTTCTATGCTACTTCAATGAATTGTTGCTTATCAATAATTACCTTTCAATTTATTTCTGGTATATAATACTCCTAGATCAGCTGGAATGCAATCAAAACCACTGCTTCCAACAATATATACCCCTTTCTCTTCAGCTTTTTCATGATACTTCCAATACATTTCTTCCAAAAACTGAAAAATGTAAGAATATAATATTTAACATAAAGTGTTAACTATGTAGAGTGGTTATAGATGATGGAACTGTTTTTAAAATGAAACTTTTAACACCAACAAAGCTTCAGTAGTGGAAACTTACCTCTACTGCTGATGTAACTTAACAATTTTACGATTTACTTTACAAACTTATCTGCACTGGCCCTAGGCATTTTCAGTTTTAGGGACATCTTTTTTAGAGCCTTATTTATGCACATAATACTTGTTTGTCACTTTGTTTTGAAAGTATAGATGAGTGCTTCTTTCACAGATTTCCATTTAGTCATCTAGGTTTGTAGACATAGCTTTAAACTTTTTGTTGTAGCAAAGAACTGGAAACAAAGAGGGTACCTAGCAATTGAAGAATGGCTTAAAAAAAATTAAGGTCTAAAAATGTAATGAAATATTAAATTGTACCTTAAGAAATGACAAAAGGAATGGTTTTAGAAAAGTATGGGAAGACTTGTATGAACTGATGCAAAACAGAGTAAGCTGAACCAAGAAAATGTTGTATATGGTAAGAACAACATTGTAAAGAAAAAACTTTGAAGGACTTAAGAACCCTGATCAAAGCAGTGACCAAGCACAACTGAAAACCAATAATAAGGCAAGCTGCCTACCTTCTGGCATAAGGATAACAGACCCAACATGTAAAATGAGATATATACTTTTGGACATGGCAAATGTATGGCTTTGCCTTGCTTGACTATGCATATTTCTTAACAAGGACTGTGTTTTCCTTTTTTTCATGGGAGGGGAAGATTTAGGGAGGAGGGGGAGATAGTGATAACAAGAAAAAAAAGATAAAAGATTAAAAAAAAAGAAAAAGTAAGATAAAAATAAGAAAAGAAAAAAGATCTTTAATAAATTCAATACTCAAAGCTGACCTGATTGTATTTCTCTCTAAACTTATGTTTATTTAACTGTCACTCATTTTCAAATATAACTATATTTGAAATTAAATATATAACTAACCTCTTATAAAATGATGTCGAAGTCATGTCACTGTTTAGAAGGGGACTAAACGAGAGACTGATTGGATTGCTAAAATTTCACTAAGTTATTTGATTGTTTGTTTTTGGGGGTTTTTTGGCTAGGCAATGGGGTTAAGTGACTTGCCCAGGGTCACACAGCTATTAAGTGTCAAATGCTGGATCTGAACTCAGGTCCTCCTGACTCCAGATCACTATGCTATTTGTAAAAAATGAGTTAAAGCTCCCTTTTCCAGCCCTCTGAACTCTCCAGACTTCCCCACCATGTTCAAGCAGCAATCTCAACCTGGAAGATTTTTTTGTCTCCACCGCCACCACCACTACCATCATCTCCTCCCCTTCCTTGGGAGTTCCTACAGAATCCTTCAAAGGAAAGAAGTGCCCAGGCCAGCCACACTCACTCCTCTCCCACCTCTGCTCAGGACACTCTGGATTTCTCTACTCTCTCCCTTACCCACTCACTCTTCAGCTCCCTTTCCTGTGTTGTTTTCCCCCATTAGAATGTGAACTCCATGAGAACAGTGAATTCTTTCTTTTTGTTGATATTTTCAGTGTTTAGCATAGTACCTGGTACTTAGGAAGTATTTAATAAATGCTTTTTGACTTGATTCCCTCCCAACTTATAAACAATACTGAACGTTCACAAATTATGCTAATTGTACTTTATCTTAAATCTTTTATATTTTACATACCTGTGGTTCCCCAGAGATGTCAATACAGCTAGCTCCATTTTCAATACATGCTTTGACCACAGGTTCCCCATAAAATCGATACTCAGGAAATAAAAAAATACATAAATTATCTTTTCAGTCAGTTAAAATAAAGTAAATGCTCTCAATCTTACCTAACAATGGAAATTGTTAGAGGAAAAGAAACATTTCTTCTGGTTAATAAGACGATACTATAATGATGATCTAATGCTGTGTTTTAGCAAAGCACTAATGATATACCATCTGTAGAGCTTGGGTTCTTGCACTCTCTCCATAGCAGTAATTATATGTTTTCACTGAACTATCCACACTTTCACTTGATCCCCCTCATGACCAATAATCTTGCTTTTGTGAGAACATTGATGGCCAGGCTTAAATTAGTCTATAGTATTGAAAAAGAAATTCTCTCTTTAATGCTGCTGCACAGTATGAGAATTAAGCGTGCAATGTTACTCTCAAATGGAGTTAAATAGTATGAACCAACACTACATACAGTAGAGAAAAGAATCCCTGGGAACACATCATTTCCCTTCTCCTCCGGCCTTGCAATTGTCTGATACAGGGTTAAGGTCCCCCATGCCAACTGAGCTGCCTCCCTTCTTCCTACCTTATGTTCCTTTAGAATACAAAGTAGCAATTTTGCTAGAAAAGAATGTGCTGTTTGTTCCAATGAATACAAGGGCTGATTACTTACTGGTCCTATACAATTGAGAACAACAGTTGCTTGTTTAGCCATTTCATCAAGAGAGTCTGAATTAATGATATCACAGATTATTATACCAACTTCATCTGGAAGTGTAGGTCTTTCTAGAAATGAAAAGAAAATTACAAAAGAGACATAGTATAACATTAGATCCTCTGGATCTTTTAAAACAATATTAGCTAAAATAAACAATCTAAATCAACAAACATTTATTAAGTACCTACTACTTTCAGGGCACTATGCTAGGCAATAAGAATACAAAGACAAAATGAAACGGCTCGACCTCAAAGATCTTAACTATCCACTAGAAGGATGCAACAGGTAAACAGATAAAAAAAAAAGTCACACTAATGCGCAGTGAGATCACCAATGACTGTTGGCCTTGGAGATGGCATCTAAGCAGAGCCTTCAAAGATTTTAAGAGGCGTGGTGGTGAAGAAAGAGTATTCCCAGCACTGGTCAAGTTTAGATGAAAAATGGAATGCCAAGTTCAGGGATGAGCTTAGTAGGCTAGTTTGGCTAAAGGGACTCAGAAGTCACACTCTCCACCTTTTAACACACATAAAACTTCTGCTTTACCCTTAAAAAACATAGTTGTTTTATTAACATCTTTCACCAAATAGTAAGGAAGACTTAAGGTCTCTTGAGTTTCACATTTTAGATCTCTTAAATATTTAGAGGAAACAATGTTCATATTAATAATTGTTTAAAAAAATAAAAGGATAAGTACAAAATATCACTAATAATAAAAAAAAAACACCTAGCATAACCAAGTGTGATCTATCACCTAAATAATATGACAACTTTGTAAGGGAGCTCAGGTGGCTGAACAGATTTGATTATTAACTTTCTATGAAGAGAAGTCTCCACAGTTGGGGGTGGGGAGGAGAGTAATGGCTTTAGGGCTGGATCAAACTTGTGATTTCATTGGTATAAAGAACTCTCAAAGAGGCAATTCCTTCTACCCACAAGCAAAGCAGCACCTGCTCTGCAATTTAGTCTTAGAGAGTTGCCTAGGGGCACTGAGAGATTACACAACAAAAATTAAATCTGGTTTTCCAATCTACTCTCCTATCAACTAAAAAACTGAACACAACTCAAAATGAAAATTAACTTGAAAAAAGATAAAAGGAATGGAGAAGACAATGAAGGCGAGAGCTAAATTTAGCTTTCACAATTGGAAGCTTGCCCCCTAATACCGGGTGTCACAAATCTCAACTCAGCAACATATTGGGGGAATGCCTAACTTATTAAAAACTAGGAAAGAGGGAAAAAATGCACAACCATTACCACATGCAATGAAGACACTAGACAGCCTAACCTAAGGTTTTATTTTAACCAGAAAGTATGTATTTCCAAACATTGCTTATAAAAACTCATCAAACAGGATCTATAAACAACTGATAACCACTTACAAAAGTAAAACCCATGTATTCCTCAATAGATAAATGGTCAAAGGATATGAACCATTTCAGTTCTGAATCAGAAAAACAATGGGTTATTAATCATATAAATTCTGTAATAATCAGAGAATATGTAAATTAAAATGTTAAGCAGGGGCTGATCCTTTTTTGTCAAAGAACCTTTCTGACAATTTGGTGAACTCTACAGAATCTTTCTCAGAATACTTTTAAATGCATAAAATAAAATATGTAGGATTATAAAGGAAATCAGCTGTATTAGAAATAAAGATGTAATTTTTTTTCAACCAATCTCACAGACCCCCTGAAATCTTTCCATTTCCAGGATCTATGCACTATAAGTCAAGAAACCCTACTACCACCTAATATCCAAATTTTCAAATAGTTCAGAGCATTAAAATTTAAATATTGTACCAATTATGAGGAAACAGGAAAAATATTCCGTTGCTTAAACAATGTGAATCCTATCTTTGCTTTTCCTTAAATAATATTCTTAGTCTTATGGGATCACTAGGTCGAAGGTCATGAGCTTTGCATGTTGCTCTTCACAAAGATTGCATCATTTCACATTGTTTCAGCAACAGAATATTTTTCCTGTTTCCTCACAATCCAGATGCTAGATAGCGCAGTGGACAGAACACTGGGTCTGAGTCAGGAAGACCTGAGTTCAAATTTAACTTAAGCCACTAGCTGTGTGACCCTGGGCAAATCACTTAACCCTGTCTGCCTCTGTTTCCTCATCTGTCAAATGAGCTGGAGAAAGAAATGGCAAACCACTCCAGTATCTTTGCCAAGAAAACCCCAAATGGGGTCACAGAGAATCGTACACAACTGGAAAAAACTGAACAAGCTGTTTTATAAAAAAAAGTTTATTGTAGCTTTATTTGCAATAGTGAAAAACTAGAAATTGGTATGTTCAGCTATGTGGAAGATGGCTCAAATAAACTCTGGTTGCACTATAGAAAATTACTTTAAAATAGTTCAAAATTTTAAGTCATGATGTAAAACAAGCCATTCCGACTCAGAAAACACAGTGGCTACCACCAAATAAAAATAACTAAACTCGAATCCGCAAATAGAAAACATATCAGAAGGGAATACCACAACATACAAAGATGTTTTTTAAAGTTTACATTTCCCCCCTTTTAGGCAACTAAACAGTTTAGGTTTAGGATTTTGTGCACAATCTCGTTTTTTCTATTACTAAGTTTTTAATAAAAACATTTTTTTTAAGTTTGCATTGTCTATCAGGTTTCTTTCCCTGGCTGTCCCCGAGGCCTTGCACTCTCTGTCCTTTCTCGTCTCGTCTCCTGGCTTCCATCCAAGCCTCAGATAAAATCCCTTTTGCAGGAACCCTTCCTCCGGCCTCCTTAACCTTAGCGCCTCGTCTCTACCGCCCCCTCCAAAGGATGCTGCTCCTTCGGGGCGCGGATTGTGTTTGCTCGCTTTGCCTCTCTGGTCCTCTTCTCTTGGCACAGCGCCTGGTATACAGCAGGAACTTAATAAATGCTTGCTGATTAGCTGACCTTGACTTGTTTTCTCACCCTTTCCTGACAAAGGGAAAACAAAAGACCCTCCCGAGCTCACCACACATCCCCCAGGAGGGGTACCCCCAGTTATTTAGTCTACGGATATGACAATGGGGGAAACTAAGGCAATACCTCAGATCCTTCAGAAAGGACGGTAGGAATTTAAACCGTGCGGAGACGGAAAAAAACCGAACCCAGGAAGGAGGCCACTCCCACCCCCTCCTCCTCCCCCTCGCCCTGGGAGAGCAGGATTTGGGGGTGAGGGGGCCACCATCCGCACGGAGCATGCGCGAGCATGTTGAAACTCAAGGGTGGAAGAAGCGGAAAAAGACGGGGGCCGAGGAGGGTCCTAATTCCCCGGGGGTCCGTCTCTTCCCCACAAAGGCCCCGCCCCCATTTTACCCAATTTCTGCGCTGCCTTCTCCAACACCTGCAGCAGCTTCTCCCGACTCCGGCCGGCCACGGCCCAGGTAAACGCGGAGCCTCGTAGCTCCGGGTTCATCTGCTGCCGGGCCACCTCCTGAACCACGTACTGGCCGGTGAAGCCGGAGGCTCCAAGGACCACAAAGGTATAAGGCCTCTTTACGGTCGCCATGACCAGCCAGCAACGGGACCAGGATCACCGCGGCTCAGACTGTGTCTACGCCAAAGGCAGCGCCCCCAGCGCGCCTCTCCCCCCGCGCGCCACGCCCACGACGGGGTGGCGTCAGCGCCGTCCTGGCGGCCGCCGCCGTCTCTGGTCTCCTGCTACGTTGGCCTTCGCTGCGCTGCCCGTGGGGCGGGGGCTGAGGCTTGGGCCTTCGGTTAGATTTGCTGCGTTAGTGGTTTGCCCAAGAGAGAGGAAAAAATGGACGACGATGCCTAGGCCTGGGAGGCCGCACTGGTCACTCCCAGACCCCGAGGGCCCCCAGAAGTCTCTCAGTTTTCCCATTTGTGACCCAGCGGTGTCTATGTTTCAGCCCTCTCTTAGAAAATGCCCTGCGCAAACCTTTCCCAAACTTTATTACTTTAATTCTAGATCATAGAGTAATCCCTAGAAGAGAGGCCATCCAATCCAGGCCCCACATTTTACAGATTAATAACTTTATCGATAGAGTGTCGGCCTCTTGAGGGCAGAGATTCTTTCGTTTCTGTCATCTAATTGTCGACCTGAAAGTTGGTTAAAGAGCCAACAAGCTGGGTGACAAGTAAATTCGTATTACTCCCTTACATGGAGCCAGAGCTTTAACTCTGACTGACCCAAGCAGTTTTAGGGAGGACATTTAAACTCTGACTCAGGATGTCTGGGTTACTCAGATTCATGGTCTCTATAGGTGCTTAACCACGGCATGAGAAAGGAATTTTCTTAATTGAATAGGTTGTAAATACAATGAAATGGGAGAATGTTAAAGTGTCAGTTGATATTATAGATTCAGGATAAATGGGTTTAACATAGATAAGAAAAGTTCCACCATTGGAGGTAGGGTCCAGGTCTAAGGCACCTTAGGGGGTCATGAACAGAAGAATTCTGGTCAGCTTCATCTGGTCCTGAAGTTGCTGACAGAGAAAGGGGCATTTTGAGTTCACTGAGAGAACAAACAAAAGCATGTCTGTTTTGTTGGAGTGCTTGTGGTTGATTAGTTCAGGCTTTGGCCCTAATTGGGGTTCACATTATCCTAAATGATTATCAGAATCTACATACTGGTGTTAAGTAAATGCCATTGGATAGATTGCCCAAGGTGGAACAAGTAGTACATGGCTAAGCCAGGATTTAAACTTGTTTCTTTTGATTCCAGTTCCAGCAGAATTTTCCACTGTACCATGATATCTCTCATGGATTATTGGATACTTTCCAGGCAGAAGGGGAAAGAAGAGGCACAAAGTTTCTGAAGGAGAAAAATAAATGTATCCTTTGGTGACTATCAGAAGATTAACTTCTATTTTAGGCTGTGCCTTGGGTGGATATAAGCACATATATAGAACTTTTTCATCATAATTAAACATCCTAGAGTTTGTGCTCTCTCTATTGATGTAGATGCTTTTGAGAATCTAGTACAGGTGTTCTTACCTTTTTTTTTTTTAAAATGGACCTCCCTTTGGCAATCTAATGAAGCCTCAGAATAATGTTTCTTATTTATTTTTCTTTTTTATATATATTTTTAGGAAGCAGTTGGGGTTAAGTGACTTGTCCAGGTCACACCGGTAGTATGTGTCTGAGGCTGGATTTGAATTCAGGTCCTCCTGACTCCAGAGTAGGTGCTGTATTCATTGTACCATGTAGCTGACCTCTGATGTTTAAATAATTATATTAAAATGCAGTTATAAAATATCTTTGAAGCATAATTTTTCTCACCTTATTTTTCTTGCTTTCTTTGTAACATGGCTAATATGGAAATAGGTTTTGCATGATTTCACATGTACAGTTGAGTCACATTTCTTGCCTTCTCGATAAGTGGGGGAGGCATGGGAGAGTGGGAGAGAATTTGGAACTCAAAATTTAAAACAAAGAATGTAAAAGAAAATAATAAATTTATATTATTATTTTAGAAAATCATATATTAAAGTCTCTTCTAATTTATGATTCAGAGGTTAGGGCCTGGCCTCATGAAAGACCTGAGTTGAAATCCTATCTCTAACACTTACCAGCTGTGTGACTTTGATAAGTCATAGGATCCTAGATCTTGAGTGAAAAAGTATGTTAGAGGCCGTCTATTTTTTTATAAAAATATTTTTTAAGAAGTTCACAGACACCAGGTTAAAAATCCCTGTACTACCATTACTCACTTGCACTCCACTGTAGTAAGTTGGAGTATGTTTTTTAGAAGAGGAGGGAAAATATTCATTAATAATAATGCACATTGAAATACCTCAGTGGAATAACTAGAACTGGAAAATAGATTGAAGAGAGATAATTTAAGAATTATTGGACTACCTAAAAGTCATGACCAAAAAAAATGAGCCTAGACATTATCTTTCAAGAAATTATCAAGGAAAACTGCCCCAATATCCTAGAACCAAAGGGTAAAATAAAAATTAAAAGAATTCACCGATCACCTCCCGAAAGAGATCCCAAAATGAAAACTCCCAGGAATATCATAGCCAAATTGCAGCACTCTTAGGTTAAGGATAAAATGTTGCAAGCAGCCAGAAAGAAACAATTCAAATATAATAGACCTATAGAATGACACAAAATTTAGCAGCTTCTACATGCAAGGATTAAATTAAAGACTTGAAATATGGTATTCTGGATGGCAAAGGTGCTAGGGTTACAACCAAGAATAACCTACCCAGCAAAACTGAGTATAATCCTTCAGGGGAAAAAATGGATATTTAATGAAATAGAGGATGTACAAGCATTCTGATGAAAAGACCAGAGCTGAATAGAAAATTTAACTTTCAAATACAAGACTCAAGAGAAGCGTAAAAAAGTAAAGAGGAAAGAGAAATCATAAGGGATTCGATAAGGTTAAACTGTTTATATTCCTATATGGAAAGGTAATATTTGTAACTGCTAAGAACTATAGTTAGGGCAGTTAGAAGGAGTGTATATAGATAGAGGGTTTGGACGTGGGTTAATTGTGATGGGATAATTTAAAAAAATAAAGGGGTAAGAACGAGGGATACAATGGGAGAAGGGGGAAGGGAGAGGTAAAATGGGGATAATTTTCTCACATAAAAGAGGCGTGAAAAGTTCTTTTACAATGGAGGGAAAGATGAACAGCAGTGGTGGGCAGCTTTTATGGAATTGGCTCAGAGAAGGAGTAACATACACAATTAGTTGGGCATCGAAATCGATCTTAGCCGACAGGGAAGTAGGAGAAGAAGGGAATAAGAGTGGGAGAGGAAGGAGTGGTAAAGGGAGGAGGGAATGGTCAAAAGGAGGGTGAATTAAGGGAGGCAGTGGTCAGAAGCAAAACAGACTTTTGAGAGGGAGCAGGGTAAAAAGATAGAGAAGGATAAACAGGGAAAAATATGATGGAAGGAAATAGTCATAACTGTGAATATGAATGAGATGACCTCACTCATAAAATAGAATTGGATAAAGTAATAGATTAAAAACCAGAATCCAGCAATATATTGTTTACCAGAAACACACCTGAAACAGAGAGACACACAGAATAAAAATAAGGTGCTGGAGCAGAATTTATTATGCTTGAGCTGAAATAAGAAAAAAGGAAGGGTAGCAATCATGACCTCAGACAAAGGTAAAATAGATTTAATTTAAAGAGATAAATGGGGAAACTACATTTTATTAAAATGTACCATAGAAAATAAAGTAATATCAATATTAAACATATGCACCAAATGGTATAGCATCCAAATTCTTAAAGGAAAATTAAATGAGTTATAGGAGAAAAACTATACTAGTGGGGGACCTCAATTTTTACATTCTCAGAACTAGATAAATCTAACTGTAAAATAAACAAGAAAGAAGTTAAGGTGGTAAATAGAATTTTAGAAAAGTTACATGTACTAGACCTCTGGAGAAAATTGAATGGGAATAGAAAGGAGTATAATTTTTCTTTCACAAAAATTGGCCACGTAGTAGGACATAAAAATCTCACAACCACATGCAGAGAAGCAGAAATATTAAATGCATCCTTTTCACACCATACTGCAATAAAAAATTACATTCAATAAAGGGCCTTGAAAACATAGATTAAAAGTTAATTGGAAACTAGTCAAATGCTAAAAAATGAGTGGATTAAAGAACAAAACAATTTCATTAAAGAGATTGACAACAATGAGACAACATAATAAAATTTATTGACTGCATCAAAAACGATATTTAGTGGAAATTTATTGCTCTAAATTCTTATATCAATAAAATAGAGAAAGCTGATCAATAAATAAGGCATGCAACTAAAAAAAAAACCACCAGAAAAAGAACAAATTAAAAATCCCCATTTAAACACCAAATTGGAAATCCTGAAAATCAAAGGAGAGATTAATAAAACCGAAAATAAAACGATCATTGAACTAATAAATAAAACTAGATAATAAATAGAGAAACTATTGGTTAACTTGATTGAAAAAACAGAATTACAAGGATCAAAAATGAAAAGAGTGAATTCACCACCAACGAAGGGGAAATTAAAACAATTATTAGGAGCTATTTTGCTTAATTATATGCCAATAAATCTAACAATCAAAGTGAAACTGATGAACATTTACAAAAATGTAAACTGCCCAGAAGAAATAGAAAACTTAAATAACTCTATATTAGAAAAAGAAATTAACAAGCCATCAATGAGCTCCCTAAGAAAAAATCCCCAGGACCAGACGGATTCACAAATGAATTCTTTAAAGAACAATTAATTCCAATACTATATAAACTATTTGGGAAAATAGGCAAAGAAGGAGTCCTACCAAATTCCTTTTATGACACAAATATAGTACTGATACCTAAATCAGGAAGAGCAAAAACAAAAAAAGAAAACTCTAGACCTATTTCCCTAATGAATACTAATGCAAAAATCTTAAATAAAACACTAGCAAGGAGATTACAGCAACATATCACAAAGATCATACACTATGACCAGGTGAAATTTGTACCAGGAATAGAGGGTTGGTTAAATATTAGGAAAATTATTGGTAGAATTGACCATATCAGTAACAAAAGCAACAAAATCATATCTCAATAGATGCAAAAAAAGTTTTTGACAACATATAACACTC